GCGATCACGGCAGGCGTTCAATCGTCTTGCGAGTGGCGGTCTTGAGCGAAGGACCAAGTTACTAGCAGCCCGGAGCGACACTGTGATGATGCAAGTCTAGAACAGAACACAGAAGAGAACTCTGCATATGCCCGTGCTCCATACAATGCGATGCGTCCACCTGGCAGATTCCGCGCACAGCGTAGCCACGACATGTCACAAAGGACGTGGCGAGTCTCGGCGACCAAGTGTGCAGCACATACTATAGTTACTCTGTGGTCTCGGGCAAAAAATGGCTCTTTTTTTTTTCTTTTTTGGCCCGTCGTCAAGGACATACGCAGCAGTATGCGTTGATAATGGGCATAAGTACATATCATAGCATGACATATCATATGCAGGCGACGAAATGCAGGGGCCGACAATACATACATACGCCACAACTATCAGGAACCACAGTCTGTGCTTCTTTAGGCGGCGCTCTCGACACGCGAGAGTCAGGGTAGCGTTCTTCAACTAGCGGGGCAATCTCAGTGGCCTTCTCAGTCATTAGCAATTCACTGATATACTACGGAGTAGGTAGGTCATGAATGGTTGGGCAATTTGCATGATTCCAATTCATCATTCATTCATTTGAACGGGCCGGTTCTCGAACCAAGAGAATGTCTTAGCCTTGGTGAAGACACGCGAGATTACGGATGTAGACGACGAATTAGAATGTGTATTTCCTGTCTATCATATATTGCAGCCAAGCTGCCAATACGACACAAGACGTTGAAAAATTTCCTCATTCTCCCTGTGAGTAAAACACTCTGTCACTCCAATATCGTTTCCGGTGGTATCATGATTTGCTCTCCCAATAATGTCGCATGTGTCCCGTGGTCTGCCGGGATAACAGAATTCGCCAATAAAACAAATAAGAAGAAAGAAAGAAGAAAGAAGAAAGAAGAAAGAAAAAAAAACACATTAGAGACCCTCATCATGTGAGTAGGCGGGCATTATGCCATGTCATTTAGGCCCTGCCCAATGTGTGAATGAAAGTGAGCACTTTTCATCTCTTCATGACACGAGGCGGTACTCTGTCGCCGTTATATCTGGGTGACGACTGTTTGGCGCTCCTCGTCGTGCGGCCCGGTTTCTCAGCAATGTGGGCCCTTTTGTTGAGATTAATCAAAGCAATGAGAGAACGAAGTGGTAGTGTGATGACCTGGAGAATGGTGTTGAAGGGAAACAGAACGATGGCAACAAGCGAATCGATTGTTCGGGCCAGTGCATTCTTGGACCTGCTGTTCTTAGCTGCCACTGCGGCAAGGGCAATTGCATCGTCCACTCGTGAATCGAGCGCCTGGAACCGAGAATCCGTCTGGTACTGAAGCATGGTCGCCTTCTTTTCATATCTACGGACTGCTCGGTTGAGCGCGTCGAGTTCCGGTTGGATGGCATTGCGCACATCCCGCGCCATATTGGCCGTTTCTTCTGCCTGCACGGGGTCGAGTCCGTCGCTATGCTGTCGAACAAATTCGTCGGCCAGGGATCGTGCTTCCAGTCTGCTTAGTCGCTCAATCATGTCTTCGATCTGTGCACCTGCCTGTGTAGGCGAAGCAAAGGGATTCCCGTGAATGACTCTTTGCAGGTGAAGAGTTCTCGACTGTACGAGCTTGAGCGCATGCGAAAAGGCCCGCAGCTCAGAAATAAGGAGGAAGATGGTGAGGTTATAGTTTGAGACGAGTCCTTCAGATGGTCGGCTGAGTTGTGCCCTGATGTAGTGGAGTACATATGCGCTCAGAGGGGGTAATAGAAAGCACGAGATGAGGGCTAGCACCTCGTGCATATACAGTTCTCGAAGAGCTGCTTGCTGTTGCGGTGTCGTGCCGCCATCTTTCCCCCTTTTACTCTGCGCTGCCGTCGATGGCCCGTTTGGCTTTGGTGGTTCCTCTTCTTCAGGGACATTGTCCAGATTGGTAGTTTTGCTGGCAGCGTCGGCAGAAGCGTAATGGCGATCGTCATCTGCCTCGACAGCGGTTTGCGTATGCGCCTCTTGCTGTATGCGAACTTGTTGCGCTGCATGATACCAGGCCCTGACAAGAGAACAATATAGTCAGCACTCGCAATTGTGTCCAAGTTGAACCCCCGCCTTTCACCAATGGGCCCCTGTTTGTACTCATGACGTACCATGGCTGCGTCACGGACCAGTGAAGGAACACACCCGACAAGCCCAACAACAGGACGTCCGTGATGACGGCGTGGCCATTTTTAAACAAGGCCCCCGCGATGGCTGGCAGCAAAGCAAAGGCCAGCGATAGCGACGCCAGCGACGACGATTCTGGACTGGGCAGTTCCTGACTGGTCTGAGCTCTGGGATTGAGTATATCGCGTGCCTCGCTGAGGCTGTAGTCGGAGAAGTTGGAGCTCCGACGGGGCAGGCCTGGGGACATGCCGTCGAAGGACGCCTCGGATCGACTCGTATGAGACTTTCGTCGTAACGACGGGCCGTCGTCCGTGGTCTTGGCACGGCGGATGACATGTCCGGGAGGGGCATTGCTGGCATTGATGCCCGTGGCGAACCCTGTCGACTTGGTGGTGTTGATGCCGTTGGAAGCGGCGGGGGGTCGTTTGGGCGGCTGCGGCGCCGGCGACGTCGGCGGATTGTCGTCGGGCATTGTCGCGCACGTCTCTGACTTGCTCGTGTAAAAGAAGGAGGAGGCGGTGGCAGGAACATGGGCCGGGGCGAAAAGCAAGAGACGCGAGGTCTCGACTATCCCAAATTCCCAAGGCTGAAGGAAGGGAGAGGGACCGGACGGATGTTGTGCAGTCAGTAGTCAGCCCGCGTCGGCGTCGGGGTTGACTTGGTCCAGCGGCTCGCACATGCAGGCGTCAGGCATGGACCAGTCAACCGTTGACGTCTTGAGCTGTCACGCCCACCAGTTGACACTACTTGTAGAGTCAAGTGCCAACCCGACCAAGTAGGCAAGGTCGACGGGTGCGTGTCCCAGAAGGGCAACCGGACTTGGCATCTACTTAGGCATCTGCTCCGTACTACGTAGGCATCTGCACATGTGCACATCTACGTACGCATCCGGACCCAGCCAGACCCCGCCGCGCTCCAGTGCTCCAGTGCTCCATTGCTCCGCTTGCCTTTGAACAGCCAGCCACGGCCAGCCGAGCTCGCCTGCTGCGTGGACGCCTGCTTGCCGGCCTGCCGAGCGAGGGTTGTAGAATCTGGGGTAGATGCGTGGTCCCTTCCCTTTTCGTTACCTGTTGGGATGGCAGACGAAGCCACAGCATCGCCTCATCCGGAAGGAGGAGTTGCTACATTTGAGACGAGAGTTTGGCTGGGCGAGGCAGGGTGGACTCCGAACATGATGTAAAGTCTGGTGCCAATTCCCTTTGCCCAATGACCTGGTGATCCAACATGTAAAGCATCTGCTGCTGGTTCCGACTTCAGGTGGCCTAGGATTGGGACGGGAGAAGGGCATCTGGAACCAGCAGACAGACAGCTGCCAGGCAACTTTTGCGACGGCATGTTCCTCCCGGTCGGCGATCTTGAAGCTGGCGCATCTGCAAGTAATATTTCATGGTAGCACAACTGCTACCCTATAATTTGTGTGGATCAAGTTGGACATCCAGCTCCCTCCAGTACTGTTGATTCGGACTAATGGACTAATGGCGTCACTGCATGAATTACATCACACCGGGCTATAGCGTCGTTTCCCCCCCTACACCTTCCATTCGTCTGATCGGATCAGTCCATACCAAGGGAGGCTGGCCGCGGTCAGACTTGTCGTGACGCGCGCAAAACCGTCATACTTGGAACGGAAACCGGGACGCTGTCAACCCGGTGCAGACCATGGTACTCCGTAGAGCACGGGGTAAAGAGACGGGGGAGAAAACAAGAAGAAGAAAACAAGAACACAGGTCACAGTTATGGTATTGCTGATTTTGCCATTCATTGGACCGGTCCCTGTATGCTCGTGCCAGGAACCCCGGTCACGACGGCAGCAGAAACAAACTCGGACCACAATTTGCAAGATATGCTCCGTACTCGGTACACAGACGTCTCTTTTTTTGCCTCTGAAATTGGACTTGCTGGATTCGCCTTGTTCAATTGGCTCGGATCATGCGGATCACGGAGGTGGTTCAACTTCGAAGCAGCTGAATAGTACAACTCGTGTCGCCGACTGTCAAGGCTCGACGCAGACGATGGATCATGGATGACTGAACCAACCACCAACCGGCTCGGAGCCAGCCGACCCTGTTGGAAAAAATAGAACAATTTGCACCGGTGGCGATGTTGTTGCCAAAACGCCGCGACGGGGCCATTGGGGGCTTGGAACATTGAAGGGGGTGCCGTGGTTGAAATGGCGGACAATGCCCATGATTCAAAATCTCCATGTCGCCCAACGCCCACTACTAGCTAGCGTGTTTGTTTTTATTTTTGCTGTTTCGACCGGCGACTTTTCTTCCCCTGCCATACTCGTGCTCTTTGTCGCCGGGCCGTTGCGCGTGGGAGGACGAGTTCGTCGAGCGAGCAATCCGATGGTGGTTGTCCTCGTGGATGCAACCCAGCCATCAATTACTATTGACTAGTCCCGAGCCCATCCAAGCCCTGGCGCGTATTGAGCCATCACAGGCCTGGCATCTTTTGAACCGCCCTCGCATTGTCTCACCACACACACTCTGTCCATGACATTGCCCTCGGCTCTGCGCTGAGCTTTGGAACTGAGAATTGGCGCTGATGCCGGCGTTGGCGCGCGGGGCCTGAAGCCTGAAGCCGAAAGCATCCAGAGCCAGCACTGAGCACTGCACAGGGCACATTGAAACCTGCGACGGGCGGCATCGACGCTGTTGTCGCGCTGAGCGGACCGGACCACAGCGGTCGAGTCCACAGCAGTAGTGGGAGCGCCAGCGGTGGCCGCGGTGACGACAGCAGTCTGGTGGCCACTTGACGGTCAACTGGTGCATGTGGCCCGGCGCCGTCTGGCACGCCTCAAGCGCTCAAGTGCTGTCGACACTTCCTCCTCCGCATGTCCCCCGTCTTCTGGCCGTTCTGGCGGCGAAAACCTCGTTCCCAACTGCCGGACGAACACACCACCACCACCACCACCACCGCCGCCGCCAACCCCAATATCCCGATTGGCCCTCTCGACACGTCTGCCGCATCAACAACACATCCGCCTCGCGAGCTTGAGCTTCACGTGCGTGGAGACGCAGCCCAAGCACCACCGCCAGCACCGCCTTCTCGCTTTGCCGCAACCACCAGCGGCTCCAGGCCAGCGCCTTCCCTCATCACCCCTGAGCGCCCTGAGCACCCTGAGCACCGCCGTCCACGTCGCCGCCGTGCCGATCCAGACTCTCCCATCACGACGCCGAACCCATTCCCGCCATCTTCCTCCCCAACACAGACGCCCGCCCGAGACAAGCCGGCCAGCCGTCGCCTAAAGGCCCCTTCCCAGCAACCTGCCTATCCTCTGGCTTCACTCGACCGCGCCGCAGAGCCTGCTGCCGCAGCCGTGGCAGCCTTGAGCCCGCCGCAGCCCTCCGTGCATGGCCAGGTCTATAAGCCGAGCCTCGTACAGTCACCGTTTCGCCCTCGCACCAAGGCGACAACCGATCCTGCTCACCGACTTCGGCGGCTTCCCGCGGCGCGCCTCTGGAATCCAACCAACTCTACGCCCCGGCTTCCCCAGCCCCGAAAGCGCCGACCCTCGTCACCGCCCATTCCCGCATTGCCTCTGAAGCACCCTGCGCTCGACAGATCCCTGGATATACGTGACCCCGTCACCACCGGTGCTGGCGACTACCCGCTCCTGACCTTGCCTGAACAACGGCGGTCGAGGTATTCACAGTCTACACCGGTGAGTTTTCAACTTGAACTCGGCGAAACGAGCGATCACAGAATCAGTCTTCCGCGGTCCGTTCGAGCATCGTATGAGGGAAAACGTTCCGTGCACCGCACATCAACACACTTGGAAGCAACAGCGGAACAACAAGTCAACGACCAACACGCCCAAGAAGCTTCTGTTGCCTACCTCTCAGCAAAGAGTAAAGGCAAGCAGAAGGCAACCATGGCGCCAGAGAGTGAAGATGCTAGGAGGCCATATTCCAAGGATCTCGAGCGGGGTCCGGATGTCATGGACCATCGAGCCTCCAATATTTCAGCCGGCGAAGGCATTGGATCTGCCCTCTCTTCGTCCAACTCCTCAATTATGGGAGACGATGTACAGCCAGACGCCGGTCAGGAATGGGGCCCCCAGCATCCATGCTTCCCTCATCTGAACCCGCATGTTCCTCTCGACTCGGTCGAGCATGCGACTACGCGAATAATTCGTGTCAAGAGAGATTGGCTTGTGGCTGGTGACCTGGCCCCGACGTTTTCCAACCTATACCCCGAAATCCTGGACCCAGCTGGCGTTTCCGAGCAAGAGTTTAGACGGGTTATTGAAAAGCTGAATGGAGAGCTGATACCTATATTCGACCCCTTCACGTTTCGAAACATGCTCGACAGCGTCCTGGGACTCGTGACTGGCTGGTTGTGGGATGACTTTGGTTTGACGGCTGCCAAATCACGGCTGCATAATCTCGAGAAGTGGATTGAGAAGTGGAATCAAGAGATGGAAAAGACCATGGCATCCGAGGAAGGCATTATTCCACCAAAGTTGATTTCGCTCCGACAGACAGGGTACATGACTGTGAGTGTGGTACATGCCGTCATCAGTCCCAGCTATTATTTTCTGACAACTTGTTCCAGCTTGACATACAGATACCGGATCCTGAGATTGCTCCAGCACCAAGTACTATCGGCGCGGGCGAGTCGCAGACTGCCTTGCCGATGGAGCCAGCTCCTGCTATCACCGCTTGATGACCCGGGCTGTATACATAATTGACGTGAGCGCCACCGGAGAGACCAACACTAGCACACTGCCCGCCTTGCCTGTTTTATCAATACCAAACGAGGACAAGATGTTTGGGCCGCACAGCTGTGTGGATAAAAAAGAAGGGGTTATTTGAGTTTTTACCTGCCAATTGCGTATATTTTGTTTAATGTTTTTTTTAGAATATTGATACCACCCGCATGTACGAATATTAGCAAGGCGCTGCTGAGAGGGACCGGTGATGTTCAAATTTTTTATCTATGTATATCTGTAGACGGTTGCCACATGGCATGGTTGGCCCCTAGCATCGTTTAGTGACGACGTTTGATACGTCGACAATTTTATGATTGGCCATGGAAGCCAAGCCTGTAAATCTCATTTTGAACGCAGGGGAAGCTTTTTTCCAAGAAGGCTGAAAAATGTGATGCCAAATAATACCATTCGTTTTAGCCCGGCAGCCTGGACAAGTGAGTCCGACATTGAGCATGACAAGAAACGAGACACTCGGTCATCGTCCCGCTTCTGCGTCGGCGCCACGATCGACTCGCACAGCGACGTTACGCTGCATTGAGAAACGGACAAGTGGCGTACGGAGCTGTCAAAATACCACTTTGTGCAGCCTTATGATTGCTTTTCCCTGCAGGCTTCACTGTGTCTCTAGCAGGCGTCTGATTTGAGCAAGACGAATGGACATATAGTGGCAACACTACCTGCGGAAATGATGACCGGCGGTCATAACGTCTTCCCAAACAGGAAGTTGGAATGTTGATGCTTAGACCCGCTCTTATATCCGTGCCTCTCAAACGACATCGGAGCCCGTGTTGCTCGCTAAACTAGTTGTACTGCTAGTTTGAGGGCATTATTTTCAATATATCGGCACGACGTGCCTCTTGCAATCTTGAACGGATGGCCCCAGCCGTGTTTTACGTTACTATCCCTACTCCCCATTGTCCTTCCCTTGACAGCGGAGAATGAATTATGGTTGAAGTAGACGGAGGTCATGCCGTCGGCGAGGCCCCAGCACCGATAAAGGCCGTGAGGTGGGCGAAGAAGGCTGTTCGGCTCATCTTGGCGCAGTGGTTGCTGATCGGGTTCGGGGTGGCGTGTGTTGTTGGGTATTATTTTCCCGGTGAGCTCGCTCGGTTGAGGTGACGAGTAGGGACAGAAACTGATTGCGGTGTCGCGAGTAGGTGTTGCTGCTCCTGGGGGAGTCATCAAGTCCGAGTATAGTGTTTTGTATGGTGCCGTGGCCTTCATTTTCTTGGTGAGTGGGCTGCAGTTGCCGCCGTCCAAGTTGCAGGCCAATGCGACGAATTGGAGGTTGCATGCCCTTGTCCAGGGGATAAGTTTTGTTGTGATTCCTTGTATTGTGCTTGGTATGGGCATCTTCGTCTTGCTACACCCGCATCTATTCTGCCCGGGAGCCCTTGGCTGACACCGCGAAAAAGCCGTTATTCACATCTCTCTCGCAGCGGGGGCCCTTCAAAGTGGCACTCCGTCCATCCCCGTCATCGTCGGCATGCTTACCACCGCGTGTATCCCGACGACTATTGCCTCCAACGTTGTCATGACGCGCTCGGCGGGTGGTGATGAGACTGCCGCCGTTGTCGAGGTCGTCCTGGGCAATGTCGTTGGCTCGTTCCTATCGCCCATTCTAATTTATGGATTCATGCCCCGAGGAAAGGAATTCGCCTCTTGGGCACCAGCGAACCCTGCGTCTTTGGGGCGCATGTATGCCGACGTGGCGAAGCAACTGTGTTTGAGTGTGGTTTTGCCGCTGGTAGTTGGACAGGTGGTCCGGTGGTGGAAGGAGGATGGAACAAAGAAGGCGTTGGATGTCTTGAAGCTGGGCAAGATTTCAGGACTTTGTCTCGTATTATTGGTCTGGTGAGCCATGTCGTTTTTTTGCCCTTTCTCATCTCACCAGATGCAAACAAGCAGCACTGGCTTACACTGAAGGCAGGACGACATTCTCGGGAGCTTTCCAAACCGGCGCTTTATTTAAAATTTCCAAGCCATCCCTTCTATTCAACATATTTATGAATATAGCGCTTTACCTCATTTACACGGCGATATGCTTCTTCTCCGCGCGGCCGCCTGCTTTCTTGGCGGACTGGATAAACCCGTTGCTTGCGGAGTCTAAAGTTGCAGGACGACTGCCGCGCATGCTTCGCCGCGCTCTTACGATTCGCAGAATGCCGCGGGAGCAGATGATTGCGGTATGTTTCTGTGGCGCGGCCAAGACGACCAGCTTGGGCATTCCATTGGTAACGGCGATGTGGAATGCCTCGGATGACTTGACGAGGGCCTTCATTCAGATCCCTGTTTTGCTGTATACGATAGAGCAGGTATGGTGCTGGACCTTTTACTCTCTCTTTCCAATCACATCTCCTGGGTTTTATATGCAGGAAGGGTCTGAGGAGAGCCGGTTGCTAACATTTGCCAGGTTTTCATGGCGCAGATTCTTGTTTATATTTTCAAGTGGTATATGAGGCGTGAGGTGAAGAGAGAGAGTCAGAGTAGTGATGTAAATCATTAGTAAGTGAGGTTTCGTATGATTCTTATGAAGTGACGACTGGCGATAGCATGTTGCACGTCACATGTTGCGGTATCTGCACATAATGTACTCCGTAGCGAGGAATTAATAGAATAGTATAGAACAGAATATTATACTTCGTACATGCGCTGGGAAAAGCCCTCAAAGTGGTAGGGAAGGAGCATTTTTTGGTTGCCAGGGGCTATAAACATTATCGTGGTTTTGTATTCATAACACTTGCCTCAGGATCGGATGAATTGTGTTTGTCGTACAGTATCAAATAATCCAGATAGGCTTTAGGGCACTGTACGTATCGGGTGCCGGCATTTATGTTAATCCGCCCACGGACCACCATGAGGGTAGCTCCTGCTAGTCACTCAGCCGCCAACAGGCTATCGTGGGTAGGCTGCAAGTCTGACGAAGCTCCCTCTGAACCTACTACATCCTCACTACGGTGGATGTCTTGCTACACTCAACACAACATCTTCTTTTAATCGGTCTTGCATCGATTTTTTGCATCTGAAATACGGGCCGCATAGTCATTTTGCAAAAACGCGACAATTGACCCGACCTTGCAACGATGGCTTCCGGTTACGACAGAGCTCTATCTGGTATGTTTATTCACCGGCCATTGCCTCACCTGTTAACTCGGCTAACCCTCATCTCCGTTTCCAGTCTTCAGGTTCGAATCACTCACCAGCTGTACAAGCTATCATTGCCATCTAACACTGCAATAGTCCGGACGGACACGTGTTCCAGGTCGAATATGCTGGTGAAGCTGTCAAGCGAGGTGTGTTAGGATGACAACGGGAGCAAGAGTCGCTCGTTCCAGGGTTCGCAGTAACTGATCTTTCGGAACAGGAACTTGTGCTGTTGGCGTCAAGGGAAAGGATGTAGTTGTCCTTGGATGCGAGAAGCGATCAGCTATGAAGCTGCAAGATACTCGGATTACCCCTTCCAAGATCCAACTCTTGGACACCCACACTGCCCTGGCCTTTGCTGGCCTGAATGCTGATGCCCGAATCCTCGTTGACAAGGCTCGGTTAGAAGCCCAGTCCCACCGTCTGTCTGTGGAGGACCCCGTCACCATCGACTACATTACCAAGTATGTGGCGGGTGTGCAGCAGCGATACACTCAGGCTGGTGGTGTGCGGCCATTCGGCATCAGCACGCTCGTTGTTGGTTTTGACCCTGGCAGCAAGGTCCCCAGATTGTATCAGACTGAGCCATCTGGTATTTACTCAGCATGGTACGCCCCCTGAATCCTGGCAACAATACCATGACCTGAATATGATTTTCTCACCATCCGACACAGGAAGGCGAATGCCATCGGCCGATCGAGCAAGACGGTTCGTGAGTTTCTCGAACGCAACTACAAAGATGATATGGATCGGGAGGCTACCATTCGGTTGGCGATAAAATCTCTCCTTGAGGTGGTGCAGACTGGCGCAAAGAACATTGAAATTGCTCTCATGGCCCCTGGCGCTACCATGGAGATCTTGCCTACCGACGAGATCGAGGGCTACGTGAAGGAGATTGAGCAGGAGAAGCAAGAAGAGGCTGCTAAGAAGAAGACCGGACGGACACCTGGAACAGGCAGTGCCGCGATTCTTACAAGAGGACAGGACGATTCTGCTGCTGAATAATGACAAACGTATGAAGACATCTAAACATGTGTAGAAGAAAGAGCTATCTGCTAGCGGCATTGCTATAGTTGACGCAACGCCATTGTATTAACATCTGCCCCGTCTGATATGATTGCCCTCCATCATCGTCTAGGTTTGTCCATGGGCAAAAATATATGTGAAACAACCCAACCCAACCAACGCCGGAACTTTTGTTCGCCGCTTAAAACCCATATCATGTCACTTGTAAAAGATAAAAGACCTCCCAATCCGTCTAGCCTAGCCCAGCTTATCCGCATCATCATCAGGGTCGAACATGGTACGGTAATCATTTTGTCTGACGCGCTCGTCCCTGAGCATCTTGTTGTTGACTCTTACGTCTTCGCTCTCCACGGATAGTGCTGCCTTTGGGGTTTTGGCGTCGATGACAAAGTGATTATCGCAATGCGGGCAGTACTCATCGCTCTCTTCGAACTCCTGCGTGTCCTTGCGGAAGCACTTCTTGCACTTCTTGCAGGCGAAGACCATTTCGAAACTCTGGAGGAGGGGGTGTTTTTCTTGCTCGCGGTGGCATTCGGCGCAGTCAAACCACTTGCGGCCTAGGCGTTACGTGAGTCAGCCGGCTTGTCTTTGGAATTTGCAGGGAACCGGCTCGGAAGATACACCCAGGGAAAAAGAGACGTACAGCATGGCGATCGGATCGAGACTTGTGCGTTGAGGACGTGTTTACTGGCTGGGGTTAGTGGACAGACTGAACTGGACTGGACTGGACTGGACTGGACGGGGGGGATGGCTTGCGCTGCTAACCACATGATTATTGGCCGTGTATGCCTTGCCTTTGGAGGAGTATAAAATACTATGTATTGAGCTGTTATGCTTGTGAGACTGGGAGGTTGAGGTGGGATGGTTGCTGAATAAAAGGCCTATGTAAATTTTGGCGGGGTTCGTTGGCGGATGATACGAAGTACAAGTGGGTGCTTGTGCGTACCCGAAATCACCAGTAGTTTGATGATGTGTATGCTTACAAATGTGTCGATACAATATAAGAATAGATACTGACATTTATCATTGTATTTCTACTTGTTTACGTACCGGCTATTTGAGAAGAATCGATTTTCTCGCGATGAAACAGGTCGGGTTGGAATGAGCCTAGGCGCAGCCCGAGCAGACCAGACCTGAATGAATGACAAGCTGCACCCCTAGAACCTTCCGCCTTCCGAGTTGGGGTGGCGCATCGGTACGTACCTCCAACAACCAACCACGGGTCATCATACATTGATCTTTGTACATTTAGTCACGACCGGCAAACTTCTCTCTTGCCATTCACCGACACTCGCCCCCTCCCACGAGCTGTCGCGGCAATCCATCCAGTATGCCACCAAAGAGAAAGGCAGAGACAGCCGTGCAGGGCGGGTCGAAGGCAGGGAGGTCTTCGCGCGTGTCGACGCCTGGTGCAGCTACGCCTCGTAGCCTCGAGAGTACTGATGATGTGGAGGAAGATGACGGGCCCGTCGACGAGGTTCTCGAGCGTGACATCGACAAAAACATCGATTTGTTCTCCCTAGATCGCTTTCAGAAAAGACATGCCGTTCGGGAGCCGCTCCCGCACATTTTTGGTGACCGTGACTTCTCGTACCTGGACCTCAAGAAGGATCACCAGAACCGCCCGCTTTGGATCGATCCGCAAAAGGGCAGGATCATTCTGGAGAGCTTCAATCCCTTGGCGGAACAAGCGCAGGACTTTCTAATTACCATTGCCGAACCGCTCTCTCGACCGACATTTATGCACGAGTACGCCCTCACGACACATAGTTTGTACGCCGCCGTCTCCGTCGGCCTCTCTCCCACCGACATCATTAATACCCTGGAGCGTTTCCTGAAGACGCCTCTTCCTGATGAAATTCGATCATTTATTACGAGTTGCACACAGAGTTATGGAAAAGTCAAGCTTGTGTTGAAGAATACCAAGTACTACGTGGAAAGTCCAGACCCAGAGATGCTGCAAATGCTGCTCAAAAATCCTGTCATAGGACCGCTTCGCGTCCAGGGCACAGAAGAGATTACTACCTCGGCCGCTCCCAAGATTGGTGGTTTGGTTATTCCTGGTACCAAAAACGCTGCTGGTGTTAAGCAGGCAAATGGTTTGTCCCAGGGTGCTGAACAGCAGAACGAGCAGGCCGTCAACGAAGGCGACGTCTTGGCCACCCTCAACGAAGAGGACGATGATGATCAAGAGGTTACGCACTCCTTCGAGATTGCTGACAAGGACGTAGAAACTGTCCAGAAGGAGTGTCTGAACCTTGGATACCCCGTGTTAGAGGAGTACGATTTTCGTAGAGATGAGGTCAACTCAAACCTGGAGATTGACCTGAAGCCCGGCACCCAAATTCGGCCGTACCAAGAAAAGAGTCTCAGTAAGATGTTTGGCAATGGTCGAGCCAAGAGTGGGTTGATTGTCTTGCCTTGTGGTGCCGGTAAAACGCTCGTGGGCATCACGGCTGCTTGTACGATCAAGAAGGGCATTATTGTGCTTTGCACCAGTTCCATGTCGGTCGTACAATGGAGAAACGAATTTCTGAAGTGGTCAAACATCAATCCAGACGACATTGTTGCTTTTACATCAGACTCCAAAGGATCCGTCTTCACCGGCAGCACTGGCATCATTGTTACAACCTACTCCATGGTGACACAATCGCGAGCTCGCTCATACGACGCCGATAAGATGATGAAGTTCCTCACAGGGCGAGAATGGGGTCTAATGCTTTTGGACGAAGTGCACGTTGTGCCAGCCAACATCTTCCGAAAGGTCACGTCCTCCATCAAGACTCATTCCAAGCTCGGCCTCACGGCGACTCTTCTCCGAGAAGACGATAAGATTTCCGACTTAAACTTCTTAATCGGACCAAAGCTCTTTGAGGCAAACTGGATGGAGTTATCCAAGCAAGGGCACATCGCGAGGGTACAATGTGCGGAAGTATGGTGTTCTATGCCCACCGAGTTTTACGACGAATACTTGAGGGCGCCATCCAGGAAAAAGAACTTGCTGTACATCATGAACCCTCGCAAGTTCCAGGCCTGCCAATACCTGATCAATTATCATGAGACTAGAGGAGACAAGATTATTGTCTTTTCAGACAATGTGTACGCCTTGAAAGCCTACGCCTTAAAGCTTGGCAAGGCGTTCATCTACGGCGGTACTGGACAACCCGAGCGCTTGAAAGTTCTTGAGAACTTCCAGCACAACCCTCTGGTGAACACTTTGTTTCTTTCAAAAATTGGCGACACCTCGCTCGACTTGCCAGAAGCTACGTGTCTCATACAGATTTCATCTCACTACGGCTCTCGACGTCAGGAAGCTCAGCGTCTGGGCCGTATCTTGCGAGCTAAGCGTCGAAATGACGAAGGCTTCAACGCCTTTTTCTATTCTTTAGTTTCCAAAGACACCCAAGAGATGTACTTTTCATCCAAACGACAAGCCTTCCTGGTTGATCAAGGTTACGCCTTCAAGGTGATTACTCAACTGGCCAATATCGAAAAGACGCCTGGGCTGGCATTTGCCACTGCCGGTGAACGACGAGAGTTGCTGCAAAAGGTTTTGGTGGAGAACGATTCCATGGAAGACGAAGATATCACGGACGACCTCTTCCATAGCGGTAGCATGGGGCGCAAGAAGAAGAAGGGTCCGCGCAGGACTGCGGGCACGCTAGGCGAGCTGAGCGGTGGCCAAGACATGGCGTATATCGAGCAGAACAAGAGAGTGAACCAGGGACTCAAGAAGGGCAAGGGCAAGAAGGACAGCAATGCATTTTTCAAGAAGATTGGACGAGAGAATGCTAGACGGGCTGCGGCTCAGTAACTTGTGCTTGGACTTGCATAATGGTTCAACAGCCGAAGCTTATTTGATTTGGAAACACTAATGGGTCGTGAGTTGGTTGGGCAACAATGGGAGGGAGTAATGGCGTTTTGGGGCTTCGGGGCGGGTTATTTGGAATTGGGCGTTGTTACCGCCGCCGCAGTAGCATTTGGGAGCATAGATTATTGCACACGGAGAGCATTGATGCAAACAAAAGATTGGAACGGGCTACTAAAACTTCAGACGTGGACTTTGATGTAAGTTCCTGGCTTGGTGTGCTGCAGCTGAGCCGTGGTCAACACATTCAAGTGAGCCACTGGCTGAATTGGCCTTGGTACGTGCCGAGGTTGATCTTGAGGAAAGGAGGGCAAAAATACATGAGGGATAATTTGCACACTACCGGCAATGGCATGCAGGAAATTCAAACGCGCGTGAAGCGCACCATTGTATATTGATTGACGGCCGAAGTGAACGAGCCACATCATGGTTTCGACTGATGTGACATCATGCAAAACCACCAGTTGCCTCCACCAAGAGATCCAGCGACATGAACGCCATTGTATGTAATTTACATACCAGGGTAGTTGGGAGGCCTGAGGGCTGACGAGCTGCAACATGATCCGCACGCAGAGACACATGGCAGCTGGGGATGCGTCCTACTCAATGGGCAAAATGCGGGTTTGGACGACGGCCGACCATGTGAGGAGCGAAATTTGGACATGGCCGTGGACGATCAATGCGCCATCAAACTTTCAAAGTTGGCCAACTTTGGGCTTCGAATGAGCTGCGCAGGTTTCGTATCATGATGGCGTGCTCCGTCTGGCACCTGTACCAGAATGCACACGTCGATATGTATGTATGTACTACTCCGTACTCCGTATGCACAATGAGTGCATGGCGCCGGCATTTTGGGCAGAACCACCGAGACAGGGAGCTGCATGCATCCTGGGCTTGGTCCGAGAGTCAATCGACTGGCAGACGTTGGTTACACGGCAGGGCACGTTATCAATTGATGTTATTCCTTTGGGCCACGGGACGTCGAATGGGGACAAGTTTGTTTCGTCTGCGCACGCTATGGGAGATGCGGAAAGCCATCACGGAGTACGGAGTACATGAGGGTGGACAAGAGGTGAATAGGCTTTTGAATGTGGGAGCTGGGTTACTCTGCCCGAGGCGAGGGATTTTAATGCCAAGAAAAAAGAAATGGCCATAAAAAACTGACACAGGGGACGAGGAGAGAGCGGGCATTTCATTTGCTGGGCCTTGTACAGGGACAGGCTCCTCCGGAGTACTCCGTGCCTGGAGCTTCTGGACCTGCGAGCCGGCCACATGAAAGCTTTATGTACAATTAGCGTTGTTCCTGAGCTGCTGAGACCGGGTCGGTATCGGCGATCCCTGTGCAGGGGGTTTAAATGTTATTTTTAATTTTTAATTTTTTTATCGCTCGAGTTGCAAGCAGCTGCTCACGTACAGGGCGCTTCTACTGAGCAGCCAGGTATTGAGGTACGACCAAGTACATACTACCTGCCCACCGAGGTACCAAGATAGCAGTACCTTGTAGGCAGGAGATACGTGGTAGCTCGGCTATTAGTACTACTAGTACACAATTCCAGTCGTGAAACAAAAGATCAACTCCATCAATCGACATCGGATGCTTTGCACCAGCATTGCGGCTGTGTTCAATGTTGCGCAGACTGCCGAGGCAGCATTGCACATGAGCAATATAACGAGCTGGCTCAGCCTGGCTTGGCCTATTCACCGTCTCTACAAGATTGCATCAAATATGGAGTTGCTCCTTGGCATGGTGATGTGCCGTCAACAGCCGGCATTAGCTGGCCCCAAGTTCTGCGAGTTGCCCCATGAACTTGAATCCATTGATGATGCATCCTGTTCAATCTTCGGCATCCACTGGCCACATGCCAGGCTCCAAACAGCCCACTGCACACGTTGCAAAGTTGATGTCGCCTCGACTCTTCACTGCCACGCCCCGAGAGTCAAGACTGGCCTAGCCCCTTCTATGCTAGCCTGTCCGAGGCGCCATGTCGGGCGAACTGGCACCCATCTTCTCTCGAGTATGGAGTACTCGGTACCTTTAATGTTGTCTGGTGGCCATGGGGCGACAGAGGGACCAGAAGCTGGTGGCACTGGGACCAACTCGGGAAAGAGCCTTTTCGCCTCTTGCCTGCGCCTTCGTTATTCGCTTCCCGAGTCATATGTATCTCTCCCTAGCTTGTTTTCTCTCTCTCTCTTTTCCTTCTTCTGTTCTTTTTCATTTCCTTACTCCGTACTCCTTATTGCCTACCGCCTTCTGCACGCCTTGCGAAGGATCCTTGTTTCGTCCCTCTTCTTCGCCGGCGCGTTGTGTATCCTCTGGTCCCTCGGGTCCCTCTGGCCAGGCGGCGGTACTCGTACCACGTCTGACCTTGAAACCCTGGGCGCGTGCGTTGCGGAAACCCTGTGTTGCTGCCATCTGGAATCTGGAATCTAGTTTTCGTGTCACCACACGACGCCAGCACCGTCTACGTCAACAAACCGTCGAATCGAATTGGATCCAGATCTCCAAGCCGCATTACTAGCACGCATGCAACGCTCGGTACACAGCTCACAAGATTCCGATTGAGGCCCGTTTCCGATCGACTGTTGTCTGCAACTTCCTAGATACCTTGACCTTCCCCCTGCTTCCGAGTTACATCGGCTCTCGGATCGGAATCATTATATCCTCTGGGTCTCAGGCATTTTAGAATCTTTTCAAAGGTTCAAAAACGCCGCTTCAATTGGTAATACCAGTGCTCGTTCTCAAGCCAACGTGCCCCATTCGTTCGACCCGCTCGCTACCTGGACTATCATCTGCAACCACCGTTTAGACATAGAGCCTAGAATTTTGCGCCTTTTGCGTCTGCCTGACGGACCGTCTCGTCCACTTGCAGCTTGCCCTGCACGCTGTGTTTGTCGTCACCTCTGGCATTTATCTCGCTTCCTGCAGTCTCAGTACCAGGATCTCGGCCCATCGTGTGCAGGGCTGTGATTTAATTTGGCCAATGTTGTTTTGCGCAACTTTGTCCCTTGCCTGAGCAGCACGGACGCTCAACGATATTTGCCAAATTGTCCTGGACAAGGGAACATTGTCTCGTTCTTCCTTATATTGACTATTACGGAGTAAAGAACTGGCAGATTTCCCGTTCTTCTGTCAATTGCCTACTTTTGCTAACCGTTTTCGTTTCTCAAGTCCCCTACACTGTCTTTTTTTTTTGGGCGACTCGGGTGTATAATCAATCAAGACCCTTGGGCTCGACCTGCATATTGTCAAATTCTACGTTTTCCCCTTTGCGCTCACGAATGGCCCTGGCGGCATAATTCCCGTTGCGTCAATTGATTTTTTTTGGACCTGTGTCGAAGCTCCACCGTCTAACGTCTGTTGGATTCAACAATATTCCGTCCTGCGATCGTCTTTACATCTCTGGGTCGGTTTGGCACGCCAATTTTCGACCAACACTAAGAGAAGAGGATAACACCTTTCGTCCTGTTGTGCCCCCGTTACGCTCAATATGCTGCTTTGTCCCTCTATGCATGTGAAGTCCTTCGATTGGACTCACGCCTGAGATAGGCCATTACTTACAGCACCCGAAGCGCTCGTGCCCCGGCACCGCTCTCCTACAAACAAGAAAAAAAACTCACTTTCCATTTATTGACTCAGAGTCTGTTCCAACATTGTTGTGGCGCAGCTGCACCGAATCGACATCTTTGAGCGTGAAGAGATCGTGGATGACCTCCCTGCCTTGTCACCTAGGTTCTTCCCGCAAAGACTAATATCCAATCGCCACCTCCTTACAATCTCTTACATCGTCCCTCCAAATTTCATATATACACCTTTACCAACCTCGCTCATTCATCATGTTCGAAACAACTATATCCTACGTTTGGGGTCAGCTCAAGGCTGCCAAGCCTGCGTTCATCTCCAAGAAGCCCCATTTCAGCTTCATCACTGTTCACTGTATGTAACATAAACCCACTCAAGAGCCTCCCCCCTTCTGAATTTGTTGAACTGAGAGCCGACTTACTGACTTGGCCAAATATGGTAGACTTTTGGATCATTGGGGCAACCATCGTCGGCTCGATTGCCATGTTTGTGGGAGGCAAGGGCGAATTAGCTTACATTGATGCGTTGATGTTTGCTAGTGGTGCGAATACGCAGGCTGGGTTAAACCCTGTCGACGTAAACCGCCTTAATGGATTCCAGCAAGCTATGATCTATCTGTTCTCCGTGACGTCAAATCCCATCACTCTCCATGGCTTTGTGGTATTTCTGCGTTTATACTGGTTTGAGAAACGTTTTCGAAGCTGGGCACGGGAGATTCGATCTCGACGCCGAACTCTGACCAAATCAAAGTCAAAAGCCCGAAATGATGTACACCTGGCTGAACAGGGCGTCAACGGTCGAGACATCACGCTCATGCCACAAAATGGCCGAAAACAGAGGATCACGAATGACGGTATTCTGCTGGACGATGGCCATGAAACCCAACACAACGCTGAAGTTGCCAACAAGAGTGATGAAAGCGACACCACAACCGCCACAGATGATCAGCCAAAGCTATCTGAGCCCAACCATCCGGAGAAATCAGACGGTTCGCCCCAAGACCATGGAGCAGGTGAAAATCGCACGACTAGCCTTCCAGGCCACACGGCCATCACTTTCGCAGACACTGTCAAAAGAAGTGACGGCTTAGGTGATGAGGAAACTAAGTTTCCTCAAAGACGAACGAATGCAGAACACATTGCAATTCTGGAGAGACAGCGCAACCAAGACGATGATGAGGTCCTTCGCATCCCTGGCCCGCGCGATGCAGAACGTGGATTAGGTCCCAGACGACTGGAAGCAAGTGATATGGACGAAGATGATAATAGACTTGCACGGTCTCAGACAGCAGAAACCTTTCCAGGAGGCGTCGCTCAACCAGGACGTATACGCGAACGGCAGTCAACAATCGTCATTGCCGAACCTGAGAAGCATCATCGCCGGGAAGAGATAGAAGAAAAGGCCAAAGCAATTGGCGGTACCATGGATGCCCTGAGATATCGCAAGCCCCGCATCTTCAACCCTTCGCAGAATAAGCATCACGAAGATGAAGAAGATGGAAGACGTACCAGGCCGGTCCGCACGCGCACACTGGACAACATCCGTTCCGTGTTGTCCAGTTCCAAGACTGAGGATATGCCATATCTCTCCTATACACCTACCATGGGTCGAAACTCCAACTTTGTTGGCTTAACACTTGAACAACGCGAGGAACTTGGTGGTATTGAGTACCGTTCGCTGAGGACACTTGCAATCGTTCTTTTAGTCTACTTTTGGGGGTTTCATCTTGTGATTCTGACTTGCCTATTGCCCTTTATACTCCATAATGACCATTATGGAGACATTGTGGTTGCTGATGGCGTGTCAAGAACTTGGTGGGGTTTTTTCACCTCCAATGTTGCCTTTATGGACGTTGGCTTTACCCTCACTCCTGACAGTATGATCTCTTTCAACACATCTGCCTTTTGCTTGATGGTAATGTGGTTTTTTATCATTATCGGAAATACAGGTTTCCCGGTAATGCTACGCTTTATCATTTGGGTTGCCGCCAAGCTCGCCCCCGTTGGCTCGGGAATATGGGAGGAACTTCGGTTTCTACTTGACCACCCACGTCGCTGCTTCACACTGTTGTTCCCATCAGGTCCGAATTGGTGGTTATTTTGGATTCTGGTTGTGTTGAACGCTGTCGACTTGTTGTTCTTCATGGTTCTCGACGTAAGTGACATCTGCTTAGCTACTGTCTCCCACTCCCCTTTCATGTCAATTAGCTAACGGCGAACCTAATTTAGCTTGGAGGTGAACCTATTGCTAAGCTGAGCGTTAGCAATCGGGTTGTCATTGGATTCTTTCAGGCTGCGTCTACAAGAACAGCTGGGTTCTCTGCCGTTGCCATGTCAGAGATTCATCCAGCAATTCCAGTTCTATATCTGATCATGATGTACATTTCTGTCTTCCCCATCGCCATTTCCATTCGTCGCACCAACGTCTACGAGGAAAAGTCTCTTGGCATGTACCAGCCGAATCATGTGGAAGACGACCAGGATGCTAGTGCTCTGTCGTATGTTGGAACTCATTTACGTCGCCAACTATCCTTCGATTTGTGGTACGTCTTTCTGGGATTTTTCATCATCACTATCAGTGAAGGTGCGAAGATTGTGGCCGGCAGATTCTCCTTGTTTGACATTTTATTCGAAGTCGTGAGCGCTTACGGGACCGTGGGATTGAGTATGGGTGCTGCCGGAGTCAATGCCTCTCTGTGCTCTCAATTTTCTGTCGTTGGCAAGCTGGTTATCGTGGCCATGGAAATTCGCGGTCGTCATCGTGGCCTGCCCTATGGTCTCGACAGGGCTATTCTTCTGCCTAGCGAATCCAGATTTAGGAAAGAAGCAGAAGAGCAAGAAGCCGCATTGGCGAGAACCAATACTGCTCTCACACATGCCACTGCGTCCGGCATTCAGCATCAAGACATCAATTTGACTCGGACCCGAAGTAAGAGCCGTGAGCATGTCCGAGCCAACAGCAACATTGTTGCGCAATTGCTACAACCTGGGCCTGCCGTACACCGAGAGGGCCCATCACATCAGCGCATGAGCTCTAAAGACTCCCATGGTCATCCTTTCGGGTCGATGAGAACCTTTTCTGAGCCTCATCCGGATGACGAGCAAATGGATGAATTGGCTCCTTTACCCAGTTCTGGGTCAAAGCCATGGAACCGGAGAGTAGATTCTGCCCCAGTGTCTTAGGTAGACCCGTGGGAGTCATTACTTGTACGGCAATCATGTATGCAGCCGAGATGACGGTATATTTCACTTATCACATCCTCGCTGGTCTCCGTTCTTATTTTCACTTTGTTTTAGTCAGGATTTTAGATAGAGTTACGTGGGAAACGATACATACAGCACCACTAACCTAGAAAAAAGGGGGAAAGGGACTGGGGTGTTAGAAAGCACATATTTGTTCCGTCATTGGTATTTTTGTTTTCGGGTCGTTGAGGGACAGTCATGGTACATTCGCATGCCCTGAATATGCCTGTAGAAGGTTTTGTAGCAAAATAAAGCGAGCCATAGTGTATTGTGAGACGTCATTTATGATCAACATCTGTCCGCATGTATGTTAATAAGTTTCTGTTGGCTGCTTCCGTTTCCAGAGCACTGGACCATCTCGTTCTATTCTGAAAGCCAAATGATCGCTCCAACACCCGAGCCCAACGTAAAAAAACGCCATGAATAGCTCCATATTCAAGAAAATAAATATTCACGAATCCCGCCTGACCTACTCAGCATGCAAATAACAAAGATTTCGTTGCCCGGTTCTATTTCTCATCAAAAGCGCCTATATTCTTTAAAACACCAGCTAATCGTCGATAGTCTTTGAGCAGTTCCCGGACTTCGCCGAGTCTAAGCTCCCCAGGACCTTGGATCTCCATGAAGCGTTTGTTGGGGGGAGGAATCCTAGGAACGGTGATTTGCTTGGGTGGAAGTGCGGCTGCAATCTCCGGAGACGCCTGTTGCTAAGTGTATCAGTATTTGTATTCATCTGAAAGTAGACAGTCTTGTGAATAAAAGGGAACTAACAGTCGCCAATTCACCGCTGTCCGTGGAGTCCTTGGCAGAAGGCGTGGCTGTGTTACGGCCGAAGCCGCGAATCATGCCAATGCTGGAAAGTCGACCGATGGGGTTCAACGAACTGCCCAAGTTGCGGACGGAATCTAGCATGGCGGGGGCTGTTGGTGTTGCTGACGTGGGTGTGCTTGATGCCCTGGAGTCCTCCGAGAAGCCGGGCTTTTTGGTAGACGAATGGCCGCTTCTGACACTATCCACACTGGCGTCCCGACGACCGCTGATGAGACTGAGTACACGGTCTTCGCGCGCGGAAGGGCGTTTGGGCTGTTCTGTGTCTTCGGAGCCACCTGCGACAGAACTAGTAGTGCTGGCGTTGTCATCCTCATCGGGAGGCGGAGTGCTGACAAGTTTACGAGCATCGTCCAGGGTGCGAGGAACGATGATAGACTCTTTGGGGCTCTCCTGGCGTTCTCGCAACTTGCCTAGGAGAAACGAATAACTATCGCCTAAACTGTTGGAAATGGTCTTGAGTCCCTGGTCTGCTGTATTGAACACGGCACCGCTTGCCGCGCCAAATGCCTGTGCTGGGGTATTGACAAGATCACTAAGTCTTCTGTTGCGTAAAACGTTGGCAGCCTTGAGGCCTGAGGGAGAAGGCGCGGGTTTCGAGGCCGTGACATTGTCAGTGCTAGCCTCGGTAGCACTCTGAGAAGGCGCAGTGATTCCGTACGCCGGTGGGAATGTTTCAGTCTTGGGAGTGCCAACGTGACTGTCTGGCTTTACAGGCCCAGATGGGAGCTCATCATCTCGCAGAGTAGACAGGTCCACCGTCTGAAGGAAACTGATGGCTGCTTCAAGATTTGTTAGACAGTACGCAGCCTCACCAGTCAATTTTTGCTCCCAGCGGAAGTACTGAATGAAATGAAGGTCGCTAATGATGTGAAGATTCTCTGGCGGCAGTGTGATGAGGGTGTATATTAGCATGGGCATGATTTCGTCGGCTGACGCGGACGGGTGCACTTCAGCCAGTGTGTCGACTATGCTCTTGTGAGCAGCTTTCAAGTGATTTGTTTTGGCCAGAGGATATCTAGCCTCGCTCATTCGAACCATATCGGCTCGTGCCTCCCCTAAGGAATGTCTCATTTGCTCTGTCACCTTGGCAGCCATCTCAGGGCTCTGTGCCGCTTCCTCGCCATAGTCCACGCCCAAATCAACAGGGGTAATGCCAACAAGGGCCAGAGCGGCCGTTTTCGAGCGAAGCTTCTCGTCTTGAGCCTCATCTTGTGTAGTTCGGTGACGGTAGATTTTGTTAAAGATGCCCTCACATAGCCGTCGCTCAACAGCTTCCTCCAGCGTGCCTCGCTTTGCCTCTAGTACTTTTCTTGCCCTTTTTCGATTCGCAAGCTCTTCAGCTGTAATCATCTGACGTTCTGTTTCCACCCTGGGCTTATCCTTGGTGCTCAGGGAAGCTGCTTTGGACCGGAGGCGGCTCGCAGCAGACGAGATGGATGATCCTGATGGAGCAGGTGAAATATCACGACTTTGCTTTGTAGCAAGAGCGCTGATATGTGTGGCGATATGGGATGATGCCAGGGCATAGAAGTCCTGGAATAACCTTGACAATTTTTCAATGTTTGGAGGCGTAGAGTGAACCTTGGCGCTTAGTGACTCGATGAAGCTGGTGAATGTTAGAAATAACTTGGGATGCCTGAGATGATTTTAGGGATACCATCGCCCCTGTACTCATCATACCTGTCCGTGAGGGTTATGAGCTCGATTGGCAACTCGTCGAGCTCGACAGACGCTCGTGCGGTCTCGGTAACATCGTCATTTTCACTATGCTCTGCGGTATCGAATGCATCGGGAGCGTCATGGTTGGGTTGCACTTCGGGGATTGATCCATTATGGAATGTATGCGCTCGCTTGGGCAGCTCGAGTCTATCATTCTCGTTTCGATGGGCGGAGTCGGGGTAGGAAGGCATACGAGGAACGCCTTGCCGGATGGCGTCGGAGCCTTTGGAGTTTTGCGAAGACATGGAGTGTTCAGTCGAGGCAACTAGGCATGTGGACTGCGGCCGACGACCAAAATTCAATCCTTAGGCACCAGACCTGCAGAATGGCGGGACGGTTAGAGGAGCTGGAGCTGGAGCTGGAGCTGGAGATGGGAGATGTGAGTGTGGCCCGTAGGAGCGTACATACGCAACGCAGTCAAGATGGCCACTACAATCCAGGAAACTGCTTCAGCTTGTTCCTACAAAGAGTCAAGTGTGACGCCAGGGGGACCCCGCTGACGGGGTTTGATGATGCTGAGGAGCTGACGAAAGCTCCTGAAATGACTCGGACCCGTGGCCACAATCATGCGACCTGTGCGTAGAATACAATGTCGAGCGAGCTAAAAGGCGGACATGTCGCTGTAATTATAGAATACTCTGGCGAGGTAGTGATGGCACGAGGATAGGGTTGAGCGGCAGATGGACGGAGAAGGGTATTTGACTGATGTTGATAACTCTTATCAATGCATTGATTGATTGACAGGTGTGATGGTTGGTGCATAAAGTCCGGTGCCAGACACATTTGGCCAGTGCAAGTGCAGGTGGGTGGCCCCTGGATCGATATGGCCTAGTCGCTGCCTTGCTGCCGGCGCTTGCTTGTGGAAAGGATGGACAGATTTGGCACAGCGCAGGGACCAAAAGACGAGCCCGAACCCGCGACACGATGCGCGTTGGCGGTGCAAGGCGAGCTGCCATGTGGGTAATGCACCAGACGTTGTAGAACTCGAAAGCAAGCTGGGGGGTTTGGCGTATGTACTAGTTCGGGAGTCTGTTCGCTGTTGGTAATTGTCCGGTCTGCTCAGACGGCTCCATGGCAGAAGCGCTTCGAATTCGACACTTTTGAAACGCGCGGAAGGAGCGGGCCATTTCTCAGAGTCATACGTCATTTGCCTGCGCATGCACGCCCTTTTCGCAGCGAGGGCGAACTTTTGCGTCTTTTTATTAGGGTCAACAGAAACAAATATATATAGAAAGAAAAACCTCGATCAATATCATTTTCTGGCATGCAGCATGGTTTGGCGACATATTATTGTCACTGCTACATGTTGTTGGTAGACGCCATTTTTGGTCTGGTTAATCGTCGCGAAAGGGCGCATCAGACGGAGCTGGCTCGGCGGCCGAGGCATACTTGATTCGTTTGGTTGTTGGCGTTCTGTATCGGCCTTAAATAGCTGCGATACTCGTACATGCACAATATAAAACCTGCGCTCAGACCCTGACGATATTTCGGGCAATTTCTCGAGAGAAGGCAACAAAGAGAGGCGTGGATGAGGCGCCCGAATCCTTGCCTCCATCTCTGGCACTCTGCCAACAGAATCCTCCTGGCCAATGGAACGGCCCCGCTTCGGATCCTGCATGTGGTGCGGGCTGGAAGCCGGCGTGGCAAGGCCAAGCTGGGCCAAGCTGGGGTCGGTCGGAACCGCACCCGCTGTCGGCTGCAATAGGCGTCCACTGGTTGGTGCTGTCGCTGCGCATCCAATTGGAAGCTTGACATCGATGTCAACTTGATCGAATTGCCCCGGCTGCGGGGGAAGCTTGCGGCGGCCCACAGGAGAGATTGCGAGATCGTCAAGTGCCCGTGGCCCATCACCAGCCGGCTGTGAGCCGAGCCTCCCAATGGCTGAACCCCGTTACCCGTTAACCGTTTTACCGGCCGGCGTAAACAGTTTCTTTTTTTTTTTCCCTATATTAATGACCGCCACCCTTCCGCCCGATCATCTGCTCCTTGCCCTCCAGTCCTCGTCCCCGTCCCCGTCCACGTCCACGTCCACGTCCCCTTGCGGTTTATATAGCCTTTGCTGCGCGGCTCATCCTTCTCATCTCGTGTCCTCGGCCCATCACCATGTCTGGGCCTCCATCGCGAATTCGATCCATCCTGGGCCACTTGCTTGGCCCTGCCCAACCGCCGCCTCACATTCATCATCTTTCACCGACCTTCTTCCTCGAGCGCGCAGCTCTGGTCGAGCCCAATGCCGACGCAATCTTCCACATAACGCCCAATGGCGTCGCTCTGCGCCGTTCGTACCAAACCTTTGCCGACCGCGCCCGGGGGCTTGCCTACTACCTCAAGAAGCACAAGCTGAGTCGCATTGGCATCTTGGCACCCAACACGCCAGCTTTTCTCGAGTCAATATATGGTATTGTCGCGGGTGGCGGCGTCATGGTTCCCGCCAATTATCGACTGAAGGAGGACGACATTGCTTACATATTTGAGCATGCCGACGTTGATTGCATCATTGTCGACAAGGAGTTTGAGGGGTTGCTCGGCGTTTTCACGAAAAAGCACCCTAATGTGCCATTGATTGTCGACCTGGTAAGCCAGAAACACAAAAAAAAGAAAAGGAAAAGGAAAACTATCTCCTAACCCTTCATCTGTTGTAGGACACGGATGCCACCGAGGGTCCATCTTGCGGCCAGTTCAACGAAGCAATCCTCGAGGGCCTTGCCCATGATAGGGAGCTAGGCGGTCATTCCTGGGCCGGCTTGCAGTCCAAGGCAACCAACGAAGATGATATGCTCGCCATTCCCTTCACCTCCGGCACGACGTCGCGGCCCAAAGGGGTAGTTTATACGCACAGAGGTGCATATCTTGCCGCCATGGGAAATATCATTGAGTCTGGCCTGAATCAAGGGCATTGTCGCTATTTATGGACTCTGCCAATGTAACCACCCGCCCTACATTTTGTTTCCCAACAGGGAACCTACTTGCTGATTTTTTCTTTTTTTTTTTCGCTTCTAGGTTCCACGCTATAGGCTGGACATTTCCCTGGTCGGTCGTGGCTGTGCGAGGATTAAATGTGTGCCTCAGAAAGATTGACTACCCGCTCATTTGGAAGCTGCTGAAGGAGGAGGGAATCACTCACTTCAATGCAGCTCCCACCGTCAATACTCTTCTGGTGGCCGCCAAGGAAGCTGTCAAGCTGCCCAACCCAGTCCAGGTAACGGTTGCGGCTAGCCCGCCGTCTGCTCATCTCTTTGAGTTAATGGTGAGACCAGGTCTTTGTATACCTGTCAATGATCTCCCCCTGCTGATAGTCGTCACAGACCAACCTCAACCTCATGCCTGTTCACGTATACGGAATGACTGGTGAGTATCACCAGCCAAGACAGACCATGTCAACATGCATCTAATCAAGGACAGAAACGTATGGCCCCATCACAAAATGTTACCATCTACCAGAATGGGATAATCTTCCGCCCCAGCAAAAATATGCCAAGATGGCGAGACAAGGTCACGGATTTGTCACCAGTTTGCCCATCCGCATCATCAAACCTGACCAACCAGAGGGTGTTCTCATCGACGTCGCCAAGAATGGTCAAGAAATTGGAGAAATCGTCTTCATCGGCAATATCTGTGCCAAAGAGTATTACAAGGATGCCGAAGCATCTCGGAAGCTCTTTGCCGGCGGCGTCTTACATTCCGGGGACTTGGCCGTGTGGCACCCTGACGGCAGCGCCCAGATCCTCGACCGAGCCAAGGACATTATTATTTCCGGGGGGGAGAATATATCGTCCGTGGCCCTGGAGAGCATGCTCGTCCAACATCCGGATATTCTGGAGGCTGGTGTTGTGGCTGTTCCCAACGATCACTGGGGCGAGGTTCCAAAGGCGTATGTTACGGTGAAGGAGGGCAAGAATATTCGGGGAGAGGATGTCATCTCTTGGGCCAAGAATCAAAGCAACATCAGCAGGTTTATGGTGCCTAAGGAGGTGGAGGTTGTGAAAGAGTTGCCGAAGACCAGCACGGGCAAGATTAAGAAGAATGACTTGCGCGAATGGGCTAAGAAAGGTGCAAAGCGATAGACGGTATACGATTGGAAGGTTTACAGGAGTTGACAGTCGCACCGTTTTTTGTGGTGTATCTTCTTTGTATTTCTGGCTTATTGTGACGGCCCATACCTCTACCGGAAACCCCTTGTTTCTCAACGTTCGTACCATTGCTCGTAACCTCTTCATGACGGTCGTTTATTTCACATTAGCCGGGAACAAAGCCCCCGCCTTACCCCGGTCAAGTCCATCCAACGTCTTCATATCCCCTTCATCCAGTGCAAAATCAAACACATTTGCGTTTTGCTTGATTCTGTCGGGATTGCCACTCTTGGGGAGCGGAACCCAATTCTTCTGGAGCGCGAACCGAATCAATATTTGCGCCGGTGACTTGTCGTACTTGTCTGCTATGGCGCCCAAAGTCGGATCGTTCAGGTGGTCGCCACAGGAGAGCGGACTGTACGCCGCCAGGACGATACTCTTGTCCTCGCAGTATTGAACGATTTCCCGCTGCTGGCACCACGGGTGAAGCTGCGAGATTTTCATATCAGTCTGTCATCTCTCTACCCTGAGAATCCGGCCCCCCACCGGCAGAATGTTTGGTGTTTTCCAACATACCTCGACTTGGTTCACGTGCGGCGGCCAGACCTTTGCGTACTCCTTCATCTCCTCGATATGCTGTGGCCGGTAATTACTCACGCCGATGGCCCTGGCTCGCCCCTCGGCGTGCAGCCTTTCCAGCACGCCCCATAGCTCCTCGCGCGACTCTCGCCCGGTGCCGGGGATGTGAATCAGCAGCAGGTCGACGTACCCGTCCTTGCCGCCTACTTTCTCGATGCTTTCCACGCAGCTCTTGTACGACTTGTCGGGGGAGCCCGCCGATTGGCGAATCTTGGTGGTTATGAAGATGTCTTCCCGCTGGATGGGCGACTGCTGGACGGCGGCCCCGACGTCGGCTTCGTTTCGGTACAGTTGCGCCGAGTCAATGTGGCGGTAGCCGGCCTGTAGGGCATCCAGGACGGCTTTTTGGCAGGATTGTCCGTAAAGCTGGTAGACGCCGAAACCGAGCTTCGGGATGGAGCTGGTGGTGTTGGTGAGGGGTGCGCGGTCTTGGAGTGTGAGTGGTGCCATGGTACGGAGTAGTTGGTTACCTTTTGTTTCGCCTTATCGTGAAGAATGGGAAGGCAGCGAGTATGAAAACAAAAAGGGAAAAAAATTAGGTTAGTTGCGCTTTAAATGTGCCAAAGGAGGCATTATTAATACAAATTGACCAAATACAATACATTGAAACTAGAATTTTAGACGGGTTTCCTGGGGTGTCGGTCGAAGCAGGAGCTTGGGGCAGCAGATCGTCGGCTTCTGCAAGGTGCATGTACTCCGTAAAAAGCATGGAAAGAGCGGGCGCATTCGTCATAGGGAACCACTTTATGCCCCGCCACGCCGCCGGCGGATGGCATCTCCCGAGAGCTGCGAGCCGTCAACTACTTGCGTAGCTGAGCGGCATTGCTCAAGGTGAACGCGGCACCAAGTTGGCAGCAAGAGATACCGAAATGAACGGGGCTGTTGAACTCCAGAAGAAACCGCCAGAACCATATCGTCGGCCCGGCTTTATCCCCGCCAGCTTCAGACCTGGAAAGGGGGACAGCTTGAGGCAGCAACGCAGCAACATTGAATCCCTTTGAATGTGCGCAGGTCCAACTAATGTACTCGACCCACTCTTTTACGATACTTAAAGGTACTCTGTGACTCTGGCAAATAGCTAGTATATTTTTATATTTATATATATCTTAAAATATTATGTACTTATATCATTATATAGTTTCCTAGTAGGTCTATATATTTTTTTATTAGCATTTATTATTGGCTAGGATCCTGGTCTGCTACACCAATTGGACCTGCGCGCATTCAAAGGGATTCAGGTGCTGCCGGCTGGGAGTCACCAGCAAACGACCAGCACTGAGCTCTCGGCGGCCTTCTGCCCCACCAAACAACCCACCATCAGCCTACTTTCGTCACAGATTGGTTTCCACTGCTCCAGCATTTTGCCTCCCTCATTCCACCAGGTGCGACGACCTTCGTTCCGCTTTCCATCGTGTACCGTTCAACGGTTAATGGGAAGCATCTTTTTTTTGACACTTAATCACGAGCTCACACACAGCTCGTCTTGAGTTTGGGGACCATTCCTACGGCTGCAACCATACCATTTCTTATTTTTCGAAACAAACATGAGCACTTTGCGGCCTTTGCGGGGTGGTTGCTTGTGTGGAAGGAACCGCTACATCATTGCTCTTCCGGAGGATGGGATAAATGAGGCACAAGTGCTATTCAGCACGGACAGATCACACCGTGAGTCAGGAGTCCCAATGGTCTTTTCTGTCTAGTCTGCAGTTGACGGGACGGAGAGGATGATGTCTAAATCTCTCTACACATTGTCTTGCGTTGGCTAACAGTGGTTTCTAGAAGAACCACTTGCTACGCCTCTGGCGGCGTACATCCGAGTACCGCTGTCATGGTTACACAGCACGACCTTTGCATTCTTTGATGATGAGACGCACACCATGATTCGACGTGTTTACACCCACCCTAGCCAAGATCACACAAAGCGTCAATTCTGTGGATTCTGTGGCACGCCGCTATCATACTGGTCCGAAGAGCCCAGGAGCGAGGCCGAATATATCAACCTCACATTAGGCAGTCTGCTTCAAGAAGACCTCCAGGACTTGGAGGACCTGGGACTCATTCCAGAAGAGGGCGAAAGCGAGCCAGAGGAAAAGCGGGCGGCCAGCCCAAATCGCGGCATTGCCCTGCGACATTCCTTTGGAGTACCATGGTTCGATGGCATGGTGGATGGCACAAGACTGGGTAGAATGCGTCGCACGCATGGGATTCGACGCTCAGACGATGGTACAGTCAAGGTTGAGTGGGAGATCATTGAGGAGTCGGATGGGCTGGAGAACGATGTTGAAATGGAGACAGGCTCTGCGTCGGGGAAGCGAAAGTTGCAGGACCGAGATGGCTAGAAGGCATCACTGTGAAACGGACTCGGCGACATCGGACGGGGGAGTGCACTCACCGAGGTATTAGCCACGGACATGAGTGAGAAACTTTTTCTGACATGTGCTGTCTTTGGCCAAGGGACGAAACTCAAGTTGACCGGCATGACAAATCCAGCTTTGGCATGATGCAAAGCTCAACAGCTGCATGAGCAAGTCTTGAGAACAGTGGTGGGAACACAGGACCGAGGGAGGTGTGGCGTGGTGGCGTTTATGCGGGAAAGAAAAGAAAAAGAGAAACAACGGACATGTATGAAAAGAACTATGCTGTGGATTACGGAGTACTAGAGGAGATGACGATGTGAATTGATGTTGTTTCATGCAACTTGTTTGGTGTTGGTGTTGTTGATCCCTTGTAGAAGAATTGCGGGATGTCGGCACCATGTCACTCACGCACACTCCGGAGGCAATTCGTAAAAAGGAACAAAGACGGCTGAGAGAGGCGCTTTCAAGGCAGAAGGCAAAAACCCGGGCGTAACGTACTGGGAACATCAAATAGTTTCAAAGCCATGACGACGCCATCAACTCTCCAGCCCGGCACGCGGCCCGCCCCTGACGCCCGCTCTGCCCCTGGACACGGAGAGATTACATGCTGTGAGATGAATCCCGTTGCCTTCGTCCTACTCGGTGCCCGCAGTGTCAAAGCACAAGCCGCGCTTCGCCCGAATGTACATGGGGAGCCCCCAAGCTGACGGTCATCGGAGAGACGGGCCGGGGGGGGTTCGAAAGGCAAACATTCATCATGGTGGCACAAATTGGGGGGGTTGATTGACCCCGCCGCGGGGGGAGGAGCTCCAGATCAGTCAATCGTGCCATTTCATTCATTGTCCAGGGAAATCGAGCCATGTAAGACGTGACGTTGGCGACGTGGGCGACGTTGGGGACGTTGGGGACGTTGGGGTTTGTGACATGGCGGTCGCTGCAAAACCGGTCATGTTTGCTCGAGTTGTCGAGTGGCGCCATGATGGGAATTGCGGTTTTGCCTCTTTAGGCGGCGCGTCATGGCCCGTGACTTCGTGCAGAACCTCCGTGTGCCCTGTGCCTGTACAAGGGTGCTCCGCCCAGCGGTAAGCACTTGCTGCCAATTTGAACCTTGCCGATTGTGATGCTTCTTTGTTTCGTGGGAACGATAGGGCGGCTTTGACGGGCGCAACAACTCCACTCGGTCAGAGTCTGGCGTCTTGTTACTGTTGGTGTCGATCTTTTCTTTCCCTCTCCGGGTTGGCATCTGTCCATTGGGGGTCTGGTCGTCACGATGGAGCAAACTTTGACGCTGGGTATTTAAGATGCCGCTGCCCTCCAGGTGGAATTGCAATGGGGGCAAAAAGGGCCGATTTGCGTTGACGTTTCCCCCCCAGCAAGAAACACCCATCGTATTTTCTGCTTGATTTTTATTTTATTTTTGGTATTTTGCGTTGTGGCGATTTCGTCGTTGTCCGCCGTGGTTATAGATCTCGACACCACCGACCCAGGCAAAACCTCTTCGCTCCGCAAACATGTCCCTTCCAAGCGACTTTCTCTGGGGATTCGCAACAGCCGCGTAACCGCCCCCCCTCCCCCCCTCCACCCCTCCACCATCCCCTCCTTGGCTTCAAATACTCATGGCCTCAGTACATACACAACAAGGTCGCTAACTCGTCCCAGCTATCAAATTGAAGGCGCCGTCGAACAAGACGGTCGAGCCCCCACCATCTGGGACACCTTCTGCAACAGGCCCGGCAAAATCGCCGACGGCTCCTCGGGCACCACGGCGTGCGACTCGTACAATCGCACAGCAGACGATATTGCCCTCCTCAAGTCCCTGGGCGCGACGGCCTACCGCTTCTCCTTGTCATGGACACGCATCATACCGCTGGGGGGCCGGAACGACCCCGTCAATCAGCCCGGTCTGGACCACTACGTCAGGTTTGTACATGACTTGCTCGCTGCCGGCATCACGCCATTCGTCACCTTGCTTCACTGGGATGTGCCCGATGAGCTGGACAAGCGGTACGGCGGGCTGCTGGACAAGACTGAGTTTGGTCTCGATTTCGAGCACTACGCGCGGGTGTGTTTCCGGGCCATGCCCGAGGTGAAGCACTGGGCGACTTTCAATGAGCCGTGGTGCTCGGCCGTCTTGGGATACAACGTCGGCCAGTTTGCCCCAGGAAGGACGTCGGACCGGGCCAAGTCTTCCGAGGGCGACGGCACTACGGAGCCTTGGATTGCTGCGCACACGTTGCTCGTTGCGCATGGCCGCGCCGTCAAGTCGTATCGGGACGAGTTCAAGGCGGCCGCCCAGGGCGAAATCGGCATCGTGTTGAACGGTGACGCCGTCTTCCCCTGGGACCCCGCTGACCCGAGGGACGTGGAGGCGTGCGAGCGCAAGATAGAATTCGCCATCTCGTGGTTCGCAGACCCCATCTACAAGGGCGACTACCCAGAGTCCATGAAGCGCCAGCTCGGCAGCCGCCTGCCCGCCTTCACGCCCGAAGAAGCTGCCCTCGTCCACGGCTCAAACGACTTCTACGGCATGAACCACTACACGGCCAACTACGTCAAGAACCGCCCCGGAACGCCCGACCCAGAGGACGTGGCCGGCCACCTCGACGTCTTGTTCTACAACAAGAGGGGCTTCTGCATCGGCGAAGAGACGCAGTCGCCGTGGCTGCGGCCCTGCGCCGCCGGATTCCGCGACCTGATGGTCTGGATCAGCAAGCGCTACAACTACCCCAAAATTTACATCACCGAGAACGGGACCAGTGTCAAGGGCGAGAACGATTTGCCCATGGAGAAGATTCTAGACGATGATTTTCGCGTGCGCTATTACAACGACTACGTGAGGGCCATGGCGACGACCGTGTCGCTGGACGGCGTTGATGTGCGGGGGTATTTTGCCTGGTCGTTGATGGATAATTTTGAATGGGCCGAGGGCTATGAGACGCGGTTTGGCGTGTGCTATGTCGACTATGACAATGGCCAGAAGAGGTTTCCCAAGAAGAGCGCGCGCTTCTTGGGGCCGTTGTTCGACAAGTTGATACGGAAGGAGGGACAGTAGGCTTGCTTGTTGGATAGGATTAGCACGGACGTCTAGATGAAGTAATATACTATTTTTGACATGTCATCCAAAGGCAGATTTACCATGATGGCTTCTACTTTGCAGGTCAAGGTATGAGTGGTGCAGGGGGTCTAGGCAGTCGATACTGCAGCGAGCAATACATTATTGTGCAATGATATATTTCTGCCGGGTACACATTGCCATGTTTCCCCCAAGAATGCACAAGATGTCGGCTTATATCAACGGTATGTATCTGTACTGCGAAATGGACTAGCGATGTAAAAGATTAGTCGATCAGCTTTACATTGTTCTCGTCCGCTGTTACTTGCGTCATCTTGCAATCAAATTAGTGTCTTCGAATTGAGGCTCATATTCTGTAATAGTGTCGACCACACCATCACAGGTTGAGTAGTGTAGTGGTCAACATGGTGGCTTCACAACAGTGAATGCGCTACAGCCCCGGGTTCGATTCCCGGCTCGACTAAACTTTTTGCCCTTGTTCCTTCCACCACTGCGACCGTGTCGAGCTTCATAAGCCTCTTTTATTCATTGCTTTTTTTTGCTCCTTACCATGTCTGTTTAGGGGCAGGCTATGGGAAACCCGCAACAAGACCAGGGAATCGGGCTGGCAATACGCCCATCATCTCCAACGCCAAAGATCCATCGTCACCATCTACACCTACCCTAGGCCAGGTGAGCGGCGGCCACGCCTTGAGCAACCCAGCAGCACGCCTCAGAAGCCTGAAGCAATGAATCCACGAGTGTTTCTCAGCGTCTAGCACACCATGCACTGTTGCTCGTTTCGCGCGGAGAACTAAGCGTGGCCGCTGAGTGTGGATAAACCCAACCCTCGCACATTCAGAATATATTCATCAAGCTTGTATGCGTGCTTCAAGGCTGCTACGATTATTTCCACCCAAGGAAACTCCAATACCCCGTGTGCGTGATTCGCCAGAGTCGGGATGCGGGCATTACAGCAAGAATGGAATTTGCTGCTTTTGACACTTTACACTAAGCTTTCTCGTTTACTCGGCTGCTTCAGGTCCAATGCATTCCCAAAAGCGGCAACAGACTCGGGTCAAGACGGCCGCGTAAATTAGCTGGAAATATCAAGCACATCTGGCTATGCGCTTTTGGGGGAGAAATCTGGGAAGCTAGCATCGGATTGAGAAAGCCGACGAGAAGAAGATAGAGGCGTACTGTATAATGATGGTTCGGAAACGACGAGCAGCATTCGGACATTGTACTCGGCGCAACACAGCCGCCGTGAACCGGCCGTCGTAGGGCTGACTTCAAGAAGCAACCAGAGGGCCGGCCCCGTGTCTCATTGGTGGAAATGTCATTAGCACCGGACCGCATACGAGCTTGACGAATGGGGAAATTCTGCAGTTCACTTTACAAAGAACTCCGCAAGATGGCTTTTTCGGATCCGGGTCCCGAAATCTTGACGGACAATGCCCCGTAACGCTATTCATTTTCCGCGTAGATGCTTGAATCCCATTTACCTGGCAATCAGCACATGACTTGTCAGGAAAGGTGTTTTGCTCTGGCGAATAATACTCATAGAGACCCTGCCTCCATTAACCATGTTGGTGGCAAGAAGGAGCATACAACAATATCCAGCCCCCGGTGCAGTGTTTATTTACGGATATAACTGCACACGTCACCCTTCAACCCTGTTTCCCATCTTCTTCAGTCATCCGAATCGCCGTGTTGGTATACAGCACATGATTTGCATCGTAAACCTCGTACATCATCCACAGAATCGCCTCTCTAAGCGACCCACGATGGCCAGCCGCCTATTTCCACAAGCCAAGTTGGCAGACTTTTATTCACTATTCGACTTGGACGAATGGCCTCGTTTCTTGCTTATTGCGTGCCCGACTAGACCGGTTCATGTGACAACGGCCCATACCACACCCAACACCCGCATTTCGAGGGATCCATGGCTCTGTCTAGCATATGCGGAAAGCACTGCCATGTATACGCCATATAAAAACAAAATTCCAGGTTTTTCCAATAGATGCAATGTCTCTAGGTAATTTTATGGAAAATCATTCCTTCTTCGGTTTGGTGTTTCTGCAATGGCCAGCCGCATGTGAAGGTAGGTCACGCAGCCGCCCACCGTCACCGTACAATATTGTACATGCACGCCTACCCACTCCCCCGGGATTCTTTAGAAGTTGAGCCTTTCTAACAACTAGATGTACTTGTATGGGTTCATAATGCCATTCTGTGGAGATGTTAGCATCGACCTTTTCCCGCTCCTGGCAAGAGAGCGCGGACGCCATGACCAGGGGCATTGTTACACTGCTAACAGAAACAAGAAGAAACAAAACAGGACAAGACAACAAGGCTTGCCGCCAGGGCACAGGCCCAGGTGGCCGATTCGTTGCTTGGGGATGACTTACCGGATCATACAATGTCTTGATCTGCTTCATGAGCCCAATCATGGTCTCATTACGGCTGTAGCCAATATAGTTCTTCTTTGCCAGGCCCAATCCGTGTTCTGCACTGATGCTGCCTTGCCGTTTTTCGATCCATTCGTAGACATAGGGCTCCAACACCTTTTCAACCTCCTTGTCGTACCGCCTAACGGCAATGTTGAGATGGAGATTGGAGTCACCCATGTGGCCGTACCCAAGAACATCCACAACGGGATGGTCATCCGTCTCGCCAAGGAGACCAGCCTCGGAAAGCCTTGCCTTGACATCATGGACAATCAAGTACATTTCCGACAGCGGGATCGAAACGTCATACTTGTACGTCCCACCCCAGTGGCCAATGCACTCTGTGATGCCTTCCCGCCAGCTCCACAGGGTCTTGATCTGAGTAGCGTCCTGCGCAACCACGCCATCGGCAATGACTTCGTTCGACATGACATCTTCCAGGAACTTCTCAAGCTTCTCGTAGTCGTGCTCGCTGTTGGAGCCGCTGGTCTCGATGAGGCAGTAAAAGGGGTAGTCGTTTTCCAACGGCCTCGTCCCACCGCGCACTTGATGGACCAGACGCTGGCTGGTTCCGTCCATGAGCTCAAAGGCCGAGAGAATCTCCGACAGCTGCAGCTTGGCCTCGCGGAATGCCCTCTGTGCCTTTTCGTAAGACTCGATCCCGAACAGGGCGACATTGACCGCGGGCGAGCGCTGGGCGCACTGCACGACCAGCTTGGTGATTATCCCCAGCGTGCCCTCGGCGCCGATAAACAGCTGCTTCAGGTCGTAGCCCGTGTTGTTCTTGCGCAGGGTGCACATGTCGTTCATGACGGTGCCATCGGGCAGGACGGCCTCCATGCCCAGGACGCTGCCGTGAAGACTGCCGTACCGCAGCAGCCGCAGGCCCCCGGCATTCGTCGACACGTTGCCGCCGACATGACAGGAGCCCTTGGCCCCCAGATCCAGGGGAAAGATGTAGCCCCGTTCGGCAACATGCTGATCTGCGACCTCTAGGATGCAGCCCGCGTCCAGCACAAGCGAGCCACTCATCTCATCAAACGAGTGGATGGTGTTCATCCTCCCCATGCTGATGACAATCTCATCAAAGACTGGGATGGAACCGCCCACCAGGCCGGTATTGCCGCCCTGCGGTACCACGGCCAGCATCTTCTCGTTGCAGTACCGGAGGATCTTGCTGACTTCCTCGGTTGACCCTGGCTTCAGCACCAGCCGGCACTGGCCCTTGTACTTGTGCATCCAGTCCTCATTGAAGGGCTCAATGTCGGCGGCAGCATCGGCGTTGATGCCGTCAATGACGGCCGAGTCCTGCCCGATAAGCTGCTTGAAGTAGGCCACATGCTCGGGAGTCAGCTGGGAAAACCTAGAGTCCCTTGTCAAGCCAGGGTACGAATCAGTCGTCAGCTTCGCGGCACGACTCGCTGAAGTGCCGGAAAAGGACCTCGATCCCAAGCAACGAGTTGGCGGCAGCACTGATGAGCGGCAGGCCGAGGCAAGACGAGCTGTGGCCTTGGGAAGGCCGCGGCTGGCCGCTGGGGCCACGAGACTCGAGACGTGGCTGCAGCGTCCATTGCCAACGCCCCGGAGGAGCCTCGCGCGTGTTGCCATGGTTGAATCGCGGCTGCAATGCGGTGGTGCTCAAGGCCTCGAGCGCGGTCAGGAAATGAACTTGGCTGGTCGATTGAGCAAGTCAAGACGGGCCGAGGAAGGCGGTGGGAGCCGGAGCAAAAGACGAATAGAGAGATGTTGTGCAGACGGAAACCAGAGGCGCTCGCGATGTGACAAAAATTACGAGCCCATCGAATTGCGGAATCTGCACATGGACGGTGGATAATCCACTTCGACTGCGTAGAAGGACTAGATACAACTTGACAGCTTCATTTGCTCTCGGGTGGATCCCGTCGCCGCAAACCTCCGACTCCGGCCAGCTTTCGTCCCATACAACCATACGAAGCCACCACATGTTGGAGGCCATAGAGGTTCGCCAACAATTTATTTGGTCCACGGCATGGACCCAAACATCATCAAGGGACCTGTACAGACTCCATCCTGCGTGCGACACCGCGCAAAGAGCGACAACATTTGAAAGCTCATGGTCCGCAGACATACACCACCTCTAGGGCAACCGGCGTCCGACCTTCAATGTCAAGATCTGCAACCTGAGCCGCAGTTTTCCAGCATAGGTACGCTCCATTCCCTCAGTCACCATCATCGCTCGCATTGGATATCCAAAACGGGGAAATCAAATAGCTATCCTAGTCCGTTATGCTCTACCCAAGTATTTCCAACTCCTAATCAAAACCAAGTGTAACCTCTCCAATAAACGAGGCACGGGCGTACAGTGAACTACTATTAGTATACAAGACGTGCCACGAACAAACAAAGTCTATTATCGCCTGCCTATCGCCAATTACCCAGGAAACCCATTTGCTTTGGGACTCTTGCGCGGATTTGTGTCGCCCAGGTTAGTACGGTCCTGTAGAACTCCACTGGGCACATCATCCTGTGTCCCCTCCGCGTCGATCATCTTCTCCATGAATGAAATGTAATCAAATTGGGGCTGTCCGCGGTCTTGCGACATGTCCGGACCCTTGTGAGGGGGCATCATCTCGACAAGTTTATCAATCACCTCGTCAGGGACCAGACTATGCCGCAGGTCCATCTCCGTCACGTACGGTTTGCCGTCGGCCACTTCACGGAAGGACTGGAACACTTGCTCTGCAGTGTTCTGATCCTCCGTGACGTCCACCATGAATCGAATAAACTGCTCAAATGTTACCTCATCGCGCCCGCCAGACGTCTCCAAGAAGTAGTCATGCATCTCTTCCTCAGAAAATACCAGTCCAAGAGAGGCAAGGGCAGCGCCAAACTCAATCTCATGAAGAGAATTCGAGTCATCTCTGTCAAAATGACGAAAGACACTTTCAAACTCCTCCAACTGGATAGGCGTCAGGTTGGTCATATTTCGGGCCACCATCTGGTTCTCCAGGAATGCCAGCTTCTTTTGCACTGATGATTTGACGAGTCCCAGCTCGTATGCTAGTTCATCATATGTATATGTTGTAAAGTCGTTTTCCTCAATATTGGCCTCGTAGCATTTGGCGTCGACGGCTTCTATTGTTTCCAGATAGCGATCCAAGGGGGCCAAGTTGTCACTCAGCTTCTTGACGTGGTGCCATTGGTCCTCGATATCTCCATCCAGACCAGAAATGGCAAGTTGCATCGTGTTGAGAGCCATTGCAAAGTCATTAGCTTTATCTGCAAATGACTTTCGAAGAGCGTTTTTGATACTACATGTATGATATTAGCATTGGTCTCGCCCCTTTCTTCTGATACCAAAAGGAATTGCTCCGTGTCTGGGGAAACTTACTCGCGAATGGTCTCATTGATCAGTTGTGCTCTCCTCATTTCTGCCTTTGCCAGAGTACCCCAATCCCGCTCCAGCGCATCCAGGCTCAACTCTGCGGGTGGATCGTACGGCCGGAGTCGGTAGGTGCCAAGTTTTGTCTTGATATTTCCAAGAAGTGTTGCAAGATCACTCTTTTCAGCAACCCAGTCTCTCTTTTGCCCCCTTTTATAGGCAGCAAAGTCCTTGGCTTGCGCTTTTGCATCTGCATACGTCCCCTCAAACTGGGCTAGTTGCCATTCCTTGACTTGGGCGCGCAGGGCCGCGAGGAGCTCCTTCATTCGCTTCTCGTAGGCAGTCTGCATTTCCCAAGCGCCCTGCATGTTGCTGACAAACTTTTCGACTCGTCTGCCTGCATTCTCGACCTTCTCCATCTGCGAAAAGGCGTGGAACCAGTATGCAATGTACGTCATCAAACTTCGCTCATCGGGCTTCGGCACATCACACACATCCTCCACATCCAAAAGCCGGGGAATGCCAATCTCTTCGTGGGCAATATCAAAGGCAAGTTGCATGTTTCCGCGGTGATCGTGCTTGTCTAGTGAATCAAAGTCGATCAAGTCTGGCCGATGGATATCAAGAAGCGCGCAAAAAGCCAGCCCGTCGTTCCAGCTTGCGCTGAAGTCTCGTACTTCAACCTCGTCATAGCAGGCAGTCTTTCTTTGGCACCATAATAATAGGCCTTCTTTGGCAGACATGCCCTCCTCGTTGATGTCGCTGATTGTAAATCGAAGAATCAGGGTCCAGATGAGCCCGAGGACAATCTTACGATTGCCGTCGACGATGTCCTCGGCGCCAATATTCGTCATTTGGATTCCCCTACATTTAATGAAGTCGAGAGCCAGGTTGGCATTCTCAAACTTTTGCACGCGTAGTTTTGGTTTCGAAGCATAGCGGCCGAGGGACTCGTTCGACAGTGATTCCAGGAGATGGATAAGCATGACCTTGACACTGAAAGTTAGTCTCACGCTCTGGACCATCTGGTCGGGGGATGAGGACGCTTTGCTTACACCATCACCGAAATCCTTGACAAGATCCTTGACCTCGAGGCCTCTTGATACCAACTTTGTATTTAACCTAGGGAGTGCTGGGTGTAAGCAAGGATGCCTATTGCGATTTCTCGTATTTTCATGCTCTTGTGCTCCTCCAAGATTCTTGGAACGGAGCTTTTTGGGAAACAACGACGGGTCAACGCACCATTTTGTAAAAGTCTTTTGCTGGACATTAATCCACCTTTGCTGCTCGAGAGTCGACATCTTGACCAGGCTGTGTTCATTCGCAGGCTCAACGGCGGCGAGGGCATCTGCCGTACCGCTCGTGTTTCCTGACCGTCGACGGCTCCAGTTTGCCTTTGAATGTTTTGAAGGCTTGTCCTTGGAGCCCAATGGAGGCCCGTCGCGTCCTGACCGCTGTAATCGTGCAGCCTGCAGCTGCTCCCTGTCCCGCCTGCTCCGCTTGCCGGGGAGAGACGAACGGGTTTGAGAGCGGCAACCGGGGCCAGTGGCGGTAGACTGCGTGCAGTCGCAGTCGGCAGCAGTGAGGCTCGTGGATGCAGTTGACAGGGTCGAGGACCGGGAGGATCGCGATGTCGATGCTGAGATTGAGTCGCGGAATTGCCGTACTAAATGGTCGTCGTCGAGAACGCATGTGCACCCGTCCAAGTGGCTGCAGGACGAGTTGTGTAAACAAAATTGGCTGCCCTGGCCCGCACCTTCCAGGTTGCCGGGCGGCGGCGACGGGCTCCGCTCGAGGAGCTGGCCAGCAGCATCATCTCCCGATGCGCCCAAGGGAAGCGCTGCCATTGGCTGCTGTGACGCTGCGCGTGCCTAGGTTGGTATTATTGGGCGGTTTTCGGTGGCTGAGTGCCGTTGAAGCTGTCAAATGCTCCACTTGGGCCAGTCGATCGATTGATGACTGGGCAGGACCTGCAGGGTCTGGAGGACCTGGTTGGTGTCCGCGTGTTCGTCCGCTCTTTGTCGACCTCGTCGAGCCAGTCTAGACCACCGTTCGCTCGCTTGTGGTATTGGACTTATCAAAGGGCCTTGGCAGAGGTGTGATTCGGCTGTACTACTCCGTACGGTGTGATTGACATGCGCACCTAGTGCCTGGGTGTAATACTAGGCAATAGTACTAGTGCCAGTAGGACGGCTGTTGGAGAAATATTACATGTAGGTTGCAAAATGACATCCGCAGCATGCGCATACACGGCTCAGGCGATGCGTTGCGTTTTGTATGCCTGCGCGACTCCAGACCCCGAACATTTATTTCCCTGTCCGAACAACGCCACCGCGGGGTTTGCCATGATGAGCAAGGGATTGGTTTATGCGCTCTTGTTCAGTCTCATCCCTTTCTGATCTTGCATTCGTCTCAGATGGGGAAGTGGACACTGACTTGGTGATTTATGCATTCATCTAAAGTGTCATGGTGCTAGCCCTGGACTTGTAACCGACTAAAGTGCCACCGACAAGACCTGACACCCATCGTCTCATACCGATATCAAAGACACTTGTTCGTTCGCACGCATATATATGGGCTGGCCGACCAATCATCCCTCGGCAATACAGCATATTCTTATTATGATGCGCAACAGGGTACTCCGTATGCTATTATGATGCGCAACCACGTTCCCCTGGACAGTTGTGATGAGCGCTCACGCGGGTGATCCTGCACATCTCACTCTTGTCGAAAAATGCCAGCTTCCAAATCTGACATGGTCACAAAGGGGAAAAAAAGGAGGCCCATTTGTTAGTCTCGTGTCATCTGACCCAATTTCGAAAGTAGCCGCTTCTCCATCATCGGAGGCTGTGCCAGGCGTTTCATGTTCCACACAATCTTGACTTGGTGATATGCAAGTCGACTCATTGTACAGCCTTGTCTCATGAATGGGCATCTCATGAGGTGAAACTAGTCTAGCCAAGCGCATTACTGCCTCCAGAAAACCAATCTGTCCTGTACCCTGTTATTGGAGTAATATACACGAGCAGGTCGACTTGAATGTTTGATATATGCCCAATAGTACACAGTCTACTCTGTAGTATGCGTTTTTATCTTACAACCACACCCCGATTAATGTACCCCATTTATGCCCGAGCCTTCTTCCCACCGGCCTGTTTTGACTTGGATCGTAAGGCATATCTCTCCCTTTTCCATGCTGACACCAAGTTATCCACACTGCCCATGTCGTGCTTGGGCTTCCGCATGTACGTCAGTCTCGCCCTTCTCGCCCTCTTCGGTCTTCGCCAGATGATATCAATACCCGTAACGGAGGGGCTGTAGACCTTGAACCACATTTCCACACCCGTCTTCATCATTTGTCCCCTCAGCAAGATGGCTGTGTCGACGCCTCGTCGTCGGATTTGGATAAATGCGCCTGAAAATGGCTCGCCACCCTGAGTAGTCACCATGAGTACATCTCCAACCTTGGCGCTATCTGCGTGATCCTTGGAAAATAGACGTGTTCTGGCACCCGCCGGATCTAATTGAGCGAGCTGCTGTTGACGCAGGATGGGCATCGGGTCCGGGTTCGTAGATCGGATAGATGGAATCTGAGGATAGATTTCGAACTTTTCCACCTTTCCGTGAGCGGCACCTGTGAAGAATAGTTAGCACATAAGTCTAGCACCTAGATGGCAGCAATTGAATTGCCGTACGTTGCCTCTCGCTGATGGCTTTGTTACCAGTGGGAGCAACGGCCGCGGTAGCCAGACTACGCTGCGCAGTCCTCTGCTGTCTGGCCTGTCGAAAGACGGACTTGAGACAGCCCATTGGCCGCCTGATAGGTGCGAAATTCATGGTTGCTGGTGTATTGAGCGGAACCAGCGTTCGACGTTGGGCAGACGGCAGAAATTCCAAGATCGCCAAAGCTCCATCACGAGACACCAGCCCAGAGGGCCCACAATTCATGCCCCTGATTGGACCGGCGCTTCCTTTTCCCCGACCCACTTCGCAACCATCTACTTTGGGATCGTACTTTGACGCCAGAAACTTTTGGCAGAGCAAGCAGGCAAAAGACTTCACCTAAAGCAGGCATGGCGAATCGATCGATGGCATCGGCCTTACGGTCGTTGAGGCACCAGGCAGGGCCCTCAAGGCTGGACAGGATTTCTCGCAGACAATTCAGCTCGACGGCTCCCAATGGTATGCTGTCTATTCTCTGTCGTTTGCTTCAAGACTTCTCGAACTAAATATTGACACCCTTAGCTGTCCGAGCCATATTTTCGGAAACTGACAATACCGAATTGAACAACACCCTAAACTCCATCCAAGAGAAAATCATTCTGCCAGCTCATCTCCCCGAAAAACAGCGCAAGATGGTCTTTGACCCCAAGAAACGATCGCACCTCGAACAAAACCCCATCATCATCGAAGTCGACGGCCTAGAACACAAATTCTCCTCAATCGACCGGTTCAAGGGTATCGAGAACTCCAAGAAGGCATTGTCCAAAGCCCTGGACAACATGCATAGTGCTGAGGATTGGGCGAACTTGGCCACGCTCTTGGCCGGCTACAAAAAAGCAGGCATAAAGCTGAAAGCCAACCACTGGGGCAAGATTGTGCGAGTCGCAGGAACAAAAGGGCATATCTTCGCAGTCATTGAGTGCGCGAAACAATCCGACAAGACGGGTTTCGTATTCCGGACTCCCGAAATGGTTGTCCGAGTCCTCGCTTTTGTAAACGACAAAATCACGGAGAGCGCCTGGGATGCGAGCGAAACAAAGCAGGCGCTGAAGTGGGCGGAGGCGGTGTTGGATCTGTTACAGAGGCCAGAGCATGCGGTGTCGTCTCAGCGCACACGGGAGAGGCTACATTTTTCGCGACTTGTTCGAGGAATGACGGTGTTTGCGCGAGCTTCCGCAGTCAAGGTTGGCCAGGCCGCGGAGCGGGATATCAACCTGCTCCGTGATGAGGTCGCACTCTTGTCCTCCCTTTGGGAAGATGCCGTGAACAAGGATCTCTCGGAAGTTCCTGAATTCGCCAACCTTAACCCATTGGTGGAGAGAAACGCTAGCGACAATGGCAACCATATCCCCGAAGCCCTCAACGGGAGTGCCTACATCCAGGTGCTTACCCAAAACATTAGAGGCATTGAGCTGGCCCAAGAAGTGCTAGGAGGCGATGCCGAGTCGTTGTCTCCTATCCTCAATTCCCTAAAGTCCCACCTGCAAGACTTTGCAGCCAAGAGCGAGACTAGAACAGAGGCCTGGGCAGAAGAGTACGAGAAAGTCATGGGCAGCAAACCCAACTGGCCAGCAGTTGCAGCCCCGGCCGCAGGAGCATAAAAAATGCAAAAGATGCGGCATTCAAGGCGGCCCTAACATGTATCATAGAAAATTATGTATAATTCATCTTTTTTTTATATATCCTGTACAATAAGAGGTCTGTCCACCCGTCTACCGCCCCGTCTTCGCCCCCCCCCCAAGTCTTGTCTACGGCAAAACAATATACTTTTCGAGGTGCTTTGGAATAGCACCGAGCAGCTTCTTCTCCGCCAACCACTTCCTGGAGAACAGACGGTCCGCATACCGATACGCGCCGTCACACAACATGGTGACAACCGTGTGGCCCTTGCCCAGCTTCTCCGCAACCTCCTTGGCCGCGGCCACGTTGAGCGCCGAGCTGGCACCCAGATAGATGCCCTCCTCATCCAAGCACCTGTACACCATCTCGATGCTCTTGTCGTCCGAAACATGCAGCGACCCGTCCAGCAAGTCAATGTCCGGCTTCAAGTTATCCGTGATGCGTCCCTGCCCAATGCCCTCCGTGATACTCGACCCAGACCTCTCAACCAACTTCCCCCCCGAGCTAATGTACGAGTGCAACACGCTCCCCGGCGGGTCGGCCAGGTAGCTCCTCACCCTACCCCCCGACACGTCCTTCAAGTACCGCGTGATACCGGCGAGGGTGCCCGCCGTGCCCGTCGCGCAGGTAAACGCGTCCACGCCCCCCGCCGTCTGGGCCCAGATCTCAGGCCCCGTCGTCTCAATGTGTGCGCGCCGGTTGGCCGTGTTGTCAAACTGGTTCGTCCACACAGCGTTGTCGAGGGCCTCGGCGTGCCGCCTCGCCCGGTGGTTGTAGTTGTCCGGGTTGTCAAAGGCCACGGCCGGCACGGGGTGCACCTCGGCGCCCAGGAGGCGCAGCAGGTCGATCTTGCCCTGCGACTGCGTGTCGGGCATGTAGATGACGAGGCGGTACCCGCGGGAGCGGCAGACGTGCGCGAGCCCGATGCCCGTGTTGCCGGCGGTGCCCTCGACCACGGTGCCCCCCGGGCCCAGGAGCCCGCGCTCCTCGGCGTCCTTGACCACGTACAGGGCTGCGCGGTCCTTGACCGAGCCCCCCGGGTTCATGAACTCGGCCTTGCCCAGGATCTCGCAGCCCGTCTCTTCGGAGAGCCTGTTGAGGCGGATGAGGGGGGTGTTTCCGATGGCTGCGGCCGCGGCCCGTTAGCTGCTGCCCGATGGCTACCGAGTACAGACATAGACCCCTTTTATGGGATTCAATTGTGAGGGAGTGGGAACGTACCGCCAGTCAGGCCCTTGGAGATGCCTTGGGCCTTGGACACGGCAAGCGTGTGAGCACTCGGCTCGGCAGCTTTGGCCGCCGCAACAGCTAGCCGTACAGCGCTGCGTCGAAACATGGTCTCCCCGACAATAGAGCAAGGCGCCGTCCAAGAGGTGTGGTGATATTCAATGGTTTGCAACAGGACCAGGGGGCGTAAAAGGGGACGGGGAAGACGAATTTATAAGCTATCGACGACATCGGCGGCCGGGTCGTCGTGGATGGGCTGGCGACATTCCGTTGTGGGGAGCTGGCGCAGGGCCGGCGATCACGTCATTTGGCTGCTTGACTTGCACTTTGCTCAAGGTTGCATGCTAGCCGCAGCCACCGTCGACCGCACGCCACCAAGTTGCACACAATGGACCACAATGATGTTTCGATGCGTACTGACATCGTTGACAAAGAGGGTCAAGTATTCTTCATACGAGCTCAGCTCGTGTCTCGGACCCTGCTTCACGCCATCACTGTGCCTTTAGCGTTTATAATAAATGCTCTGCTGGTATTATTCAATTTCATCTACCATGCTATTATCATAATGCTGCCATGTACCATACTCAGAGGCCATGCATCAAACATGCTGTCGTCTGTATCTCGTTCCACATACAATCGTGGTATCATCTCACATCCTTTGCCCAAGTCGCACATATGGTGCTGGGAACAGACCTTTGGCGCCCATATATGTACCGAAGAACCAATCACCATTGACATCCTCAATCTCCCGAATCTCTGCGCCTTTTGGAAACAACAGTTCGTCGTCTGACCCAGCCTGCGGATACCAGGCCCAACGGGCATTCGCCCTCATTCCTGTGCCGCCATCCAGTGGGAACGTTTGCGTGAATGACAGTGATCCGACAGTAGAAGGAGCAGTTGCGGAGACGTCTTTTGTAACTAGACGCTCCAATTTCTCATCCCCATTCTTCCAAGACGATTTTTGCAACTCTTGCCCATTGCGCTCAGGACTCTCAAAGGCCTCTGAACGTAGCACTCGCCCACCTACAATGTCGCGTTCGATAAATCGCCACTGTCCAATTTTGCCGTCTGCGAACCCAATGACCGCCATTTTATGCCCACGCAAGCACCGTCTCCAGCCGGAATGCCCATTCTCCATGCTGATTTGGCCCGTCGAAACCAAGCTGTTGTAGCATGACGAGCATATATCATAATCACCTGGTGGAGCCTCGGGAATCAAGGCACTTTTGCAGCTGAAGCAGTGGTATCGAACGTGAGACGGAGATATCGGGTCCTGGCAAATGTCGCACCTGGTGCGGAACGTCAGAGGCTTGAACGGCCCAATATTTGCTGCTTGAGGTCCCGTATAGACAGTGGCAGCCGGGGGCCGGCCCGTCGATCTCGGGCTATGAGGACGGCTGGCAGCTTGTAGCGCCTCATGAGTCAAGGGCAGAAGTGGATGGGTACACGAGTTGCCCTGGTTGACACAGTTATTGCAGAATCCCCAGTCTCCCTCGTTGCATACGTCGCAACGCCAGTAACAGTCGTTTGTCCAGGTGAAGCACCGAGCGCAGAACGTTCCTGTTTCCAACCTGCCTCTCGGATCATCTGTTGTCAACGTCTTCCTCCCATCAGCACCGCCAGGCGTCGATGGAGGCGGCAAATATCGACATGCTGTAAGCATGTGTGGCTTGGCTAAAGAATCATCGCCCTTCTGTCGCAAATTCTCCCACTTCTTCCACGCGCCATAGCCAAATCCGAACCAATATTGGCATCCCTTGCCGGCTCGATAGCAGTCGAGGCAGATGTTCCACTGCCCGCCCGTGCATATGCCGCAGTTATAGTGCAATTCGTATTCTATGTGCTGCTTGTTGCATTTTGCGCACGAGATGGACGGTTCAGGGAATAGCTGCGACTTTGTTCGCCGATGACCTGAAGTAGCACTCGGGCTGCTCATGGGGCTGGAAACAGCGGAGTGAACAATGGCCAACTCCGCCGGTAGATGGGGTCTGCTGATTTGTGCTGCAGGCAGCTCATGCGTTGTTGCCGGCGAGGGATCAGCTATATTAGGGTTCCATTGAGGCACTCGATTAGCAAATGATGCAATGTTGCTGTTACTCGATGCTGACGCTGGCAGCTCAATGGGCGCCTGAGAAGAAGCCGGTACTGATGGAGTACTGGAACTACGACCCTCACTGAAGCTGTGCCGAGGTGCAGTGGGATCCGATGTTCGGGATCGTAGTCCCAAGTCAGTTGAGGATCGAGCAGCAGGACGAGTCTCTGCTGTTGACGAAAAGACGGGTGTCGTGGCACTACGGCCCCCGCTAGCAGTCCTCCGTCGTGGTCGTCTCGCAGCATCTCTCACTTCAAGGTTGGTTGACCCAGTTGGAGGCGGCCTACTCCTGTCCTCGGCCTGGCCGCCTCCATTAGTTGACCTTGAGCTGGCGCGGGATCTGGAACCACCTTCCGGTGCCCTCAATCTTGCGTCAGTCTGAGCCCCCTCTGAGTTCCTAGAAGCTGCGTTGTTGCTGCTTGAAGTGGGCTGGCGGGAAGATTCGTTGCGAGATCGTTCCCTTTGCCGACGCCTATATGCCTCGGTGATACGCCTGCTCAAGTCGTCATCCCGGGACAAATCAATATTGTCCAAATCAAGCCCATCTAGAAGACCCTCCTCTTGGATCTGTCTAGCAAAATCTTCGATTTCTCTCTCAATATCCCTTTCGCTCATCTCCGATGATCCAATCAATGATCTTAGGGACGTTTGGTGCTCAACTTGACGCTGGCGGCTGACACTTCGGCGCCGTCTTCTCCGCTGCTCTCTGTCACTGGCACTGTGATCCGAGCCCGGACGACTGGAGTCATCGCTACGAGAATTCCTTGTTGTGTGCTCGGTCCCTCGACGGCGAGAGCTCGAGCTCTGGTCCCTGCTTGATCTTGATCTCCCGTCAACAGATTGAGTTTGCCTTTGTCTTCGGCGTCTGTCTCGTTGAGACAGCCCCCCTGGTGTCGCCTCGCGCAGGCTCATTTCTCGAACTTCGTCTATCAGACGACGATCCTCCTCGTCCGCTCTTCTCTCTTCAGCAGTCCGCTCTCGAGTATTTATTTTTGGCAACACCTGGTCCCCTGGCTTATATTTTGCTTGCATTTCCTCCTTGTCGACATCAGACCGTGCCTTGGCGGGATTTGCGGCCACGTACATGTCGAGCAAGGTGACAACTGTGGCATTGTGCCTCGTATCCCGTACTGGGCTGCGACATGACGGGCAAGTGAATATGGCCTCTCCTGGCGCTGGCGGCGTGGGTGCTTTCTCAGCCTTTGCAGCTTGGAAGCGAAACCACTCTTTCAAGCACGCTCCGCAAAAGGTATGAAGGCAATCAAGCAAGGTCAGAGGCTGGTATAGGAGCTCCGTGCAGATCTGTTGGGAGATGGCAGGTCAGCTAACGACAGACTCTTGACTTTGAAGGCGGAGAGGCAGAGTCGGACCTACCGAGCACGTCAGCTCCTTCTCCAGATCCAGGCTGGGCTTTCGAGAATCCATTCATGTTACAAAGACCGAGTGAAGAGTCAGGACTTCCGACTCTGTGAGGTACGGCTTAGAGGGAGAAGGAGGTTTCCCCAGACTATCCTGTGGAGTGAGGATAAGCCGCCTTGTCGCGTTGTGGCAGCAAGAGTGACAGCAAAGAGGCTTGCTGACATCTGGACATGGAGGCTTGCTGCAGGTTCTCAGCGGGGCCATTGGCTGAGTTTGCGCTGCGTCTTGGCCGACCCCACGGCAGCGACCAACAGCCCAACACACACGACTCATGACGGAACGAGCCATCTATTCGCTACCTAGGGTAGTCAATACGGGGTCGTGCTAAGAATAGCTTCCCGGTGTGCCGCTTAATACTAGTACTAGGGAGGGTTTATTTGGCGATGGGTAGTGGATACGATACGGCTTTGGTAACCCGGCCTCTAAGAGCGGCAATATGTAGACATGGATGGCACTGACTTGTGGCTGCTTCGAACACCAGCTGCGGTTGATGAACGAGTGGTACCTTTCAGATAATCAGCTTCACACGAATCATTACAAATTTGGCCTCGGCGGCAATCAAAATGTTGGCCTTCACAAAATGTGCTCCCAGTAAAGTGATCAACGAACTGGCGGCTATATTGTCTCATACACATGACGGTCCAGCTTCCTCCTTTTCAAAATACTGCCTAAGAGTGAGTCCACTCGGCCTTGGTCTTCTCCGCAAAGGCCTTCATGCCAATCTTCTGGTCTTGGCTGCCAAACAAGCTGTGGAAGACACGTCGCTCAAACTCGACACCGTCTCGTAGACCCAGGTCCTGGCTCTTGTTGACAACCTCCTTGCACGCCTGGACAGCAACCTTGGAGTATCCGGCAATGGTCTCGGCAGTCTTGAGCGTCTCCTCCATCAAGGCCTCGTAGGTTGGGAAAGTTCTGGCGGCGACACCCCACCTCTCGGCTTCAGCGCCAGAGAAGGACTTGCCCGTTAGAATAAGCTCCATGGCCTTGGATTTGCCGATGGCTCGGGTCAGGCGTTGGCTGCCACCAGCACCGGGAATGGTACCAAGCTTGATCTCGGGCTGTCCGAAGTTGGCCTTTTCCGTGCAGTAGATGAGGTCGCACATCATGGCAAGCTCGCAGCCTCCGCCGAGGGCGTGGCCGGAGACGGCAGCAATAATGGGCTTCTTAATCTGTGTGGTCAGGAGAGACCACGACTCGATGAAGGACTTGGTATAGGCTTCGGAGAAGGTCAGAGGGGCCATTTCCTTGATGTCGGCGCCGGCAGCAAAGGCCCTCTCGGAGCCGGTGAGGACAATGACGGACGTTTCATCTGAAGCATTGAACTCGTTGAGAGCCTCGTTGAGCTCGTTGATCAGTGGGGTGCAGAGGGCATTGAGGGCCTTGGGTCGGTTGAGCGTGACTGTCCAGTTATTACAATTAAGCATCAATCAGCGGCCAGGCTACGCAGGCTCTCTTGGGGACCATGTACCTTGGCCGACGCCGGGTTTGGGAGTAGACGTCTGGATGTACTCGAAAGACTTGGAGCTATACGCGCGAACCACGCGAGGCAAGGTTGAGCGCTGGAACGGCACCCGAGCCGCAATGGGTCTGACGAACCGAACAGTGTTCATTGTAGCGACAGCGACAACGCGAGCCTCAATGTTTGGAAGGGCGAATCAGTGTTGGTCGGATGCGAATGCGGATGAGGGAGGGGCTGCCAATTGATTCAAGTGCGATGAGGTCAAATTGACCAGATGGAGGAGGGTTGAGGCCCAGGGTGGCATGAAGACGAAGCTCTGGGGCGAGGGAAAGCGTCGGCTTTGAACCGAGGATAAGAACGGTTGTCGTCGCAGATGAATGCTGTTGGTGGGGTTCCGAGCTCCAAGTTTGCCAAGCTGTAGTGGGTCCAGATGCCAAGAGACCAGACATTTAGGCATTGACGCTGTGAGATCTTCCTGCCGCAACCAGACATTGATCTGCAACACTTTTTCTTTAAAGTGATCGAGGTCCCTTGGGTGGGTAGCCCATTCGGTATCTGGAATTTGCTGGTTTGGCTGGTGTTTTTGATCTGGCTGTGGTGCGGTTGAAATGCTTGGATTCGCAGAAGATGGGAACTTGGTAATTATACAGCCAAAGCATTCAAATCTGATAATCCGCTGGCCCACTCACTCATATCGCTCATCGTTTCTCACTCAACTTACAACTACCTCCTAGTATTTTATGTAGATCATTCACAACTAGTTAATGCTATCGCGATTATTCTCTTATTTACAGAGACTGCGTCGATGAATTCCCCCATGGATGGCATGTGAAATCGATATGAGAGAGCAGTTACTTGCTTCTTTCGGAGCTTTAATGAGATGGATGGCTTGGTCTAGAGACATCTTACGGACTACTTGAAAAATTCTGCGTGTTAGTGCATTTATTAATTTGAATAACATCCTTTACCTCACTTCTTACTCACCTTCAGTTCACGTTTGAGTTTGGAATCACTGACAGCTGGCAGAACTTCCAGGCTCTTCTGCGAATTTCCTCGTTTATCTCTTTAAAATCTTTACCTCCTTTAAATCTTTCCTTCTTTCAAATCTTTCCCTCAGTTCCATCCTGAACTTCCTTACTCTTCTCTCAGGCAACAGCTCCCAGGCACCATTTGCGCCCCCCACAAGTTACATTCGTTCGACTCAACACTTTGACCTTTCCAAAATCACCCAGAATCATTGCGGAAGTATCGTAGGTCTCATTTTTGATTGTCTACTCGTATCGTGTAACTAACTGAGCCGCCAGATCTCTCTTTTACGGCCTTACGAAACAATGCCTCCCCCAATTTCCGATTCAGATGATACAGAAGCATCTCTGTCAAACGAGGTCTCCGCCCCTCCTTTGTTTGACTGCTTACCTCTGCACGTTGTGTCTGAGATCTGCGATAATATCCTGGGTGATATTGGATACTTGCAAAAGCTCGGACATCTTCCATCCTACTGGAAATTCCGCCTGACCGATAATTTTGGAATCCGTTTGGAAGGCCTAAAATCCGAAGAAAAAGCAGCCGGTTTGGCAGCCGAGCATCGCGGGAAGCTGTGGGAGCATCATGAGGAAGATTTACGTTTTTTGAGAGACTTAATTGAAGCCGTGTTCAATAGACCACGTATTTGCCATTGTGCTTTTACCGGGGTTGAAGATACACTTAAAGATATCTTACATCTTGCTGAGAATTCGCCAACCTTGTACTGCCATGATCTTGGTGAGTTCTTTTTGAAGAAAGCACACCAGGAATATGCGAAAGACATCAAAACAGCCAGGAATCTCCTCGGTGAGCTTCATGGCGTGTCTTTTTGGGCCGATAAAAATGTTGCCGAAGCTACCTTTCCAAATGTGATGGCGCGACTGCTTGGCTGTAACCGCCAAAAATTTAAGCCGGCCAATGTCTTTGACGAAATCGGGGCTATAAGTCCTAATATATTGAGCGATATTCTTATCATCAGAAGCTGCAATGAGCTTGATTCAATGGACTGCTATGCAGAGCTTTTGGATGTAACTCTCGCTGCACGGAGGATGAAGAGGAAACTGGATGAAATCGACCGCGGGCTTCAGCGCGCCATCGGGTGCTATCTGTCTACATCGGACGACAATTAGACGGCGGGATTGTTTGTCAGCCTTGATTTACTACGTTAGAGAAGTTTGAAGCAGAGGAGTTGTTTACGGGAAACGGTACTTTCAGAAACCACCAAGGTGGTAAATCTACAGAAGGCTTGAGGGAAAGGCGCACCGCTCTGTTTGGGGAGAGACAAACTGGGAGAATTATAGATGGTATCGGGCGGCAACAATTAAATCAGACAGACTCTTCTGGCATTTGTTCTATGGTTGCCAGCTCGATAAGATAATCGGATTGATCGGTTTGCTCGGGAAGATTAGCCAATACAATGGCACAGGAACCAACTACTTTGTGTTTTCGCAATTGCTTAGCTAGAAAATAATTGACCTCACAAAATAAAAACGAGTCCAGCACCACTTTCCGCAGGTACTAATGACGTAAGAAATGTCGATCAAACTGTTCTTCTATATGGGATTGATGTCTATATCTATTGTCCCCCAACTCCTTACAGTTCAAACTTCAGAACCTCGAAATGTCCCTCCCAAAAATCCAGGTAATCACCCAGTACACCGGAATCATAATCTTATTCCGCACACTCATGCTCCTCGTCAAGTACGCCGTGCGCCAAAGAACCCAGGCGGCCCAGCCCCTCAAATTATCAGCCTCGCTCTGGTGAATCGCTCGCCAGCTCCCCAAATACGTCATCACACCCCAGTTCTTAAACTTGAACGGCTTCGAGGCTTCCCCCTCACCCCTGTTGAGCTGCTTGGCCAGATAGACTGCCTGCTGAGCCGCGACCTGCGCCGTGGCAGGGTAACTTGCGCCCTGGACAGAAGTACAATCGCCCACGGCGTACACGTCCTTGAGCGTGGTTGTCTCTGAGCCATCCCCGGCACCCTGCAGCTGGACCTGTAGGTTCGGGTTGGTGACGATGCCGCCCGTCCGGGGATCCTTTGCAATCTTGCCAACCCCCTCAATGTCAGACTCGACGAGGGTCTTGACCAGCGGGTTCTGCATGAGCCCCGTGCTCCAGACGACGATGCCGGCGCCAACCTCCTCTGGTTCCTCCTTGATCTGCAGCATCAGGACGTGTCCTTGTCGGCGGATGCGGGTGAGGTGGTGCTCCGTCTTGACCCGGATGCCCTGTCGCTTGAACGTCTCGGTCGCATACGCGGCCAGCTTACTGTCAAACATGGGAAGCACCTTTGGCGCGATGTCATAGACGGTGATGGCGCAGTGCTTCTGCAGCTTGGGATACATCCTCGACAAGTCGTCCTTGATCAAGTCGTGCAGCTCCGCGGCAAACTCGATGCCTGTCGGACCGCCACCCACGACGGCAAAATGCAACAGCTTCTTGCGCTCCTCATCGCTCGTCGTCGGCAGGTCCGCCGTCTCAAACGCCTGCAGGACCTGCAGTCGGATAGCCCGCGCATCGCCTACGTCTCTCAAGAAATTGGCGTGCTCCTTGACGCCCTCGATGCCAAAGGTCTGGCTGTAGCAGCCCACGGCAATGACGAGCTTGTCGTACTTGACGTCGAATTCCTCCCCTTTGATCTCGGGCCTGTTGGTGGCGGCACTGACGTCTCCGCGCAAGTTGGCCTCGACGCGGATGGTCTTATTTTTGAAGTCGATGCTGGAGGCCCATGCTTGGTGGAACTCGTCGAGCCCCAGCCGACGAACAGGCTCAATGGCCGCGCGAAACTCGAGGGTCCCTACGGACGTTGACGCGAGGAGAGGGGTGAAGGCGAAGTGGGATCGAGGGGAGATGAGGATGCGTGTGGTTTTGGAAGGGGAGAGGGTGCGCGCGGCGGCGTAGCCTGCCCAGCCAGAACCGAGAATAACGACTCTTTCTTTGGTACCTGGGGCTGGTATGCATTAGCTACATTGTCTTGTCCTGGAGATTGCAAGCGGTGCCGTGGACAGCGTGTGAACCTACCGTTGGTAGTAGCAAGTGTTGAAGCATGCCGTCTGGATATCGCATGAGCTGCAGCTCGAGGCACGTGCGACGAGAGCTTCATCAACGACCGGCACTGAATGCGAGTAAGGCCGTCCATGATTCCCTATGCTGTAAGAAACCTCCAGCTGAGTAGTCCAGGCCCAGATAGATTCAAGATTGGGATGGAGACGAGGGCGAGTCATATTTTAATTTCTTCCTGACCTAGCTCGGAGCTCGGAATGACATCAGCCTTATCGCACACACTCAAACTCAATCCACATGTGAGTGGACCTCAGCAACAATGAGCCCCAGGAACGGTCAGTCATCAGTCAGTCAGCCACCAGCATTGCACCCAATTGCATTATGGCTGATTACGGGAATTGTCGCAGCCAAGGAAACGGGGGCTTGAACAACATTGTTTTGCGTCCAGCCGATCAAGAACGGACCGTCTGAGGCAATGGAGACGATAATAGATCGGGGAGGGAAAAAGGTGGCGGAACTGGTGGGTACAGGTCGTCTTTATCGGCACAGTATGAATACAGTGTAGAGCCGGCTGTATCACACAAAATGTTCTTCCATAACAGGTATGTGGGGCATAAACACAGTGCGCCGCCGTTGATGCAAGTAGTGACCAGCACAGTTGCTAAAGAAAGCTGAGACGCACCATGCAGAGCTTATAACGGCTGTAAACATTTGCAAGGATGAATTCAAGTAAAGTACCGGTTTTTCCGGATCTAAAAGTAATCCATGAAAATAAGTACCAAGATTCTACGCGTCAGCTAAAAAGATGGCGCGTAAAACTTATTTCTTCCTGAGCAACCACTCCCACATCAGCTCACATGAAATCACTTCCAATGTAGATCCTGGCTACGAAAAGTCCACTCTGTTGTAATTCAACAAATCAAGAAAATGGAAGCACATAAAAAGAAGGCATGGGGCAAACTCTCTGAGTTTTGAATTTCATAAAGCAGCTCCGCCAGCTCACATACCCTCGCCTACTGTTCCCTCTCCAGCATCCGGCTCTGTGCCATCACCATACCAATACATCTTCGAAAACCTAAACATATCCAACAAATCATCATCATTCTTCACCGCCAGCCGCAAATGCAGTGGACCGGTGCCGCTCACCATACAATCTCTCCTGTAATTATCCGCCAGCTCCAACAACTCGGAAACCAAGTACGCGACGACCGCCACCAGCCCGGCAATAAACTCGCCATCTCTGGCCAAGTTGCTATCTCCGCAACGAAGCGCAAAAAACCTTTGAATCCTCTCCCCGACTGCAACTCCATCATACCCTTCAATAGATCTGGAATTAGGTCTCGTCATGGCAGCGTACATTTGTCCGTCGATAGACTGCAGAGTTTCATAGTCTGGGAATAGAGACGCTGCTATTGAGGAGGTGGTAGCTTGGGCAGAGGACGCAGGGACCATGACTTTCTCAAGATAACTCATCAAGACGTTATTCAGAAGCGCCACGTTTGCATCCTTCAACGGCCCCGGAAACTCGGGGTGGCCAACACCGCCCGGAAGCTGGAGAGCAAGCCGGAGGGCATCCACATCCGCGGCGTGAAGAATATGCTCGTTTGCATCATAAGGTCCGAAGCACTCGGCCTCGGGCGGTATCTCGTGAACCATGTCAAACAACTTGATTTGTTCATGTAACTCGTCCAGCCCGTCAAGTTTGCACCCCTCTCTTAGTTGCCGCTGAAACTTTTCCTCACTCGACTCCTCCAACGCCTCAACCCTCAACGTGCGCTCCGTCCCGGCAAATGTCGTCTGTGTGAAGCGTGTATCTATAGCGAACCACAGGAACGATCTTGCAGCCGTGCGGTCGTTGTTGAAACCGAAGCGACCAAACATGTATTCCGACTCAATGGTCATCCATAGCCCATGTGTCTGATTCGCCCTCTTGTGAGCCCTCACACCTTTCCACTTCTCAATGTACTCCTCCGCATGGCCGTAGTCAACAAGACCAACGTGTTCTCCATACACGTACGTATCCTCGCTCTCGTTCGCTTCCTCCTCAGTGTCAGTCACATTTTCCCGACAGCGGTAGTCGTAATAGCCCCAGTCATATCGATTAATAGGCAACACGCCCTCGGCCACGGTACTTTCATCAAGGAATCGACTTCCACTGCCGTCTTCATGAGGTGCTCCTGAGACACGAAGAATCTTGTCAATCTCCGTCTCTGGGTTGACATGGGAGTGACACACAAACCAGGCCGCGACTTCGTTCGTCCTGTTGTCCATGAGCTGATAGGCCAGCCAAGTGCCGTTTTGAGCAGCAATATTGAAGTGCACAAGCTGGCATAGGACTGTCCCACCCGTCTCGCGCTCGAGTGCACTGGGAAACGGCTGGATAGGCATAGACTTTCCGTGCCACATATTGTGGAGGTGCCCGTAGCATAGGCATCCTGACGAGACGGTGAATTGGGAATGAACTTGGGGTTTAGAGGTCATTTTGTAATAGGGGGCGAAATGGCTGCAATTTAGACATAAATAAGTGCACAAGGTTGAACGTGTTTATAGACCCCTTGTGATGCTGGGTTGGCAAATCTATCTATTCGAAATGCTGCATAACGGCGGACTAAGGATCCAGATGTCAAGAATTGGCGGTGGGTCAACTATTATCACAGGGGGGCTGCTGCCTGGCCTAGGCGTCCACTGGTTCCGTCCGTATTTAACTGGTATCTGATTTGTTAGCTTTTCAGCTTTCTCTTTAGCTAGCTCATGCTGGAACATTGACAGCATGTAAGTGGAAATACAACACTAGATCTTAAGAATCTCAAAGCAACAAAAAAAATGCCATAAAATTATTCCTCGGGTTGCAAGGAAGCGCAGGATTGTGTGTCGAGATAATACACAGTGAGAGCCGATTAAACGTTGACTGTAAATTAGCGGCCGCCGAACCCGAGTTACACTGTGCTCCGTTTACAGCACGGAGCACCTGCGCAATGTCGTGTCGGGGGCGTCGGTGCTTCGGGCATGCCCTGCCGCCGCGGATGCCGACAGACTAGCGCCGGGAGTCAGGACCAACCCCGCAGGCCGCTGCACATCCTGTTCCAGTATTGGCGGGTTCCGAAGTCTTCCGTTCGCCCTACTGATGTACATGCAAAATAGACTTGGGATCGGACACAAAGTAGAATCCCGAGGCTGTCAAGTGCATTCCAACTTCAGATGCACCGAGGAAAACCCACGCTGCTGCCGCCGCCTTATTAGCTTACAATCGGGTTCCTCTTCATAATACAAAGACGAAATGCTAGAAACATCCCATAATAGACATCCATTCATTTCAGTTCAGTGAATCAAAGATTTTTCCATAGTTAGGTTATTTAAAGACGCCATCGCCACCGTACTTCTATTGTCCAAGGTTACGCTCAGAGACTCACTCACTTTGCCAACATAGGACTCGCCATTTCAGCTTCCCGGGTCACAGGAGCAGCCGTCACGGATGCTTCGCATGCCAATCCCTGTATCAATCAACGGCAAGCAAGAAAGGCTTCTACAATGAACACTTGCGGCATCAAACATCCATTGTGGGGATTCACATGAGATCGACAGCACGTCACAAACTGCCAACCACATGCTGATAGAGATCCATTCAGGAACCCCTCTTGGGTTCCCATGCCTACAACGATAAGGTGTATGTATACATATGCGAATATATGAACTTTTTTACCCGAAGATACATTTCAAACTCCGGCATTTTATCTTGAATCAGCGCCAACATCCATAAGCCAATTCACATGCTACTACTGCAGCATGCTGTCCAGGCTCTCGCCCATCACGGCCTCAATTTTCACAATCCATCGATGCGTTTCCCTCTCCACAACCTCGTCGTCGTCTTCCTGTAACTCGCTGATGCGGGGCAACATCTCATGCAGCATCAATAGCCACTCCTCTCCCAGTCGATCCGTCAATGCCTGCTGACATTTGACTGCTGCTAGTCGGACCGTCGTCTGCTCTGATTTGAGGTGCTTCAAGAGAGCAGTATTGATTTCCTTTTGATGTGCTTGCGAGTCGGCAGCAGCAGCTAATTCCACAACGGCTGGAATCAACCGCTCAGACACATCCACAGAGCCGGCCTGGAGAAATTGGTCCATCAAGACAGGAGCGATGGCCCCAAAGTGGGATGGAGCTTGCCAAAAGTCGTCCTGATCGTGTTCAAAGCAGGTTGCCAGAACCTGCAATACCCGACTCCACAGCTGGCGGTCCTCAACTGACTTGGGATTTACAGCTCCAAGAATCTTGGCTGCATCGTCAATCACGTATGTGGCATAGTTTGTGACGATTGACTTCAAGTTTCCGAAGAATGCATTGAGAAAGCCGTAGACGCTATATTGCCGGAGGTTTCGTCCAGACTTGTCACTCTTGGGAAGATTAGAGCTTGTCCATTCCACGATTTGTACAAACAAGGGTCGGAATGCGGCGTCGTTGAGTTTATAAATCATCTTGAGGGCCGCCTCATTCAGGCTTGTTTCGATGTCGGCAACTTCGCGCAGAGATGCCTCGCTCTTCTCGCCCTTGGCATCGACTTGGCGACGTAGGTCAAAAGCCTTGACTAGGATATTAGACAGCACTGATATGTTCTTTGTAATGCTAGACTTGTTGTGCTTGTCAATTGCAGTGGAAAGAACCGTGAAAAATTCATGAATGGCCTGCAGCATGAGGTTAGCCACTGTTCTGTGGCACGGCGGCGGTGTACTTACAGAGAACCCGGCATCAGTGGCCTTTTCCCAATTGCGCTCCAGCGCAGTAAAGACTTCTTTTGCCTCCAGCTTCTTGGCGAGGAATTCCAGACAACTTGTCCGGCTCTCATTGACCTCGCCATCTAGGCCAGCTTCGGCTGATCGACTGGACACTTCAAGAATCCTGTCAAGATATGTGGACAACATGTACGGGAGATGCTCCGCTAGAGAGCTGATGAAACCATAGCATGCAGAGTGAAGCTCTCCGTCAGCGTTCTCGCCCTCCAGACTGGCCTCAAGATACTTGACGGCCTCTGGGATGGCAATAGGCAATACCGGAACGACAGCATCCTGCAACACATCAACAAGCGATGTCAAGCATAGCAGAGCCATGACACGGAGGCGCTGTTCCTCTTGACCCAGGCAG